AGAGGAAGAAGAATGCTTCAAACACAGTCAGTGGAATTGTGTCTTCACTTCTACCCAATGAAAGGATTGTTCTTTTGTGCAACATACTAGTAAGAAGGTAACACCCTAACCAACGATAAGATGTATGATTCCAAGTTATTTGGCTATCTCTTACTTACAAAGCCGCATCGCCGTTAGTTTTGCACTATCTCATGCGTTCTTATCAAGGTAATATGAAAATAGAGAGCTTTCATTTACCAATGCAAAGTCCAAAACAATAACTGAGATGGGGGAATCTTATAGACACATGATGATCGTATATCTATGTATCTCTGTCCTCAGTCTGTTCACGTAGAGTTATAAGAATATATTGTATGGACATACTCAGCTATCTAATAGATAAGCTAACATTAAAGATAAATTACTTGACGTTCATGGAATAGATGAGAAGGGATTGTTACTGTCGGGGACTTCTGGCTTGAAAAATATTGCATGCATCAAGTTATTTTTTTGGGTGTAAACTGTGATGCTGTCATGTATTCCTGCCTCCAGACAGTCACTACTCTGTGGTGGTCATTTGAATGATGTCTTGAAAATAGTTTGCTAAAATTTGATCATCAACATTCCAACAGGTATTTTGTTCTTACAGCAAGTGACCTAGAGGAGTGGTACCAGAACCCTGAGTCCTTTCATCATGAGCAGGACATGATTCAGTGGTCTGAGAAATTGAGGCCTTGCGCTGAAGCTCTTTATATGGTTTTGTTTGAGAACTACAGCCAAGTAAGTACCAAATAGTCTTAAGCACTTCATCCTGTTCGAAAAAGTCTTCTAAACCTATTAAACCATAAAATAAGAGATAGGAACCCTGCTAATTGATATAATTTGATACTTATTCTTTCTGTCTCCATTATTGTGAACAGCTTCTAGGACCTATTGTTGTGTCCATCCTTCACGAGGCAATGAATAACTGCCCACCTTCGGTTACTGAAATTACACCAGCGCTGCTTCTAAAAGATGCAGCTTATGCTGCTACTGCATACGTCTACTATGAGCTCTCGAATTATCTTAGTTTCAGAGATTGGTATGCTCTTGATCTTCTAATGTCTAGTCGTTTTTCAGCTCCTCTAAACTTGGCCGTGTGATGTGACAAGACATTTTGATTAATCGAGTAAATAACGTGCCCTTTCTTAATGATCGGATGATCTGGCTGCAGGTTTAATGGTGCACTATCCCTTGAGTTGTCAAATGACCATCCAAATAGGCGTATCATCCACCGAAAAGTTGCTATGATATTGGGACATTGGGTTTCAGAGGTAATGTTGTTTCAATTCGCCTTTACCATTTGTTGAAAATGCATCTTATCATTGCTGAACGATGATTATAGCATAATATGCAAAAAGAAGTTACTTGTCCGAATAAGTTGAGTGAATCAGGAATAGTCATCTAAAATCATAATTTGGGGATATTTTGTAACAAGAGGCTACTAGGATTAGTTCCCGGTTGGTTTTCGTCTTGAATTTTTTTTGACTGATGGTTTGTGGATGATGATAATAACCTTTCAGATTAAAGATGACACAAAAAGAGAAGTGTATTGTTCTTTGATTAAATTGTTGCAAGACAATGACCTCGCTGTAAAGGTAGTCTCACCCTATCTCATCTTTGTTGAGTTTTTCTGTTTTGTATTAAGGTCGGATTTTCTTCCCCGTGGTTGGCTCTGATATTGTCTGGTTACTTATGTAGCTGGCAGCTAGTAGGTCATTATGCTTACACGTTGAGGATGCGAATTTTTCGGAGCAAAGTTTCCGTGATCTTCTTCCAATCTGTTGGGAGTCATGTTTCATACTGGTTGAGGAAGTTCAAGAATTTGATTCGAAGGTACATGATGTAGCTGCTTCAAACCCATTATAGCACTCCATTCTTGTCATTCTACTTCCTCCAGTGACGCATACGGATCTATGTCTTTCCATCTAACGATCTTTCTTTTTTCTCTTAGGTTCAAGTTCTGAATTTGATTTCTGTTCTTATTGGTCATGTTAGTGAAGTCATTCCGTACGCACAAAAGTTAATCCAATTCTTCCAGAAGGTATAGTGGCATACTTTTCTGTATGCACTTTATTTTTTTTATCTTGTTGCGGAAATAAAATCTTATTATATGTGTGCTTGACTTAAGAACAGGTGTGGGAGGAATCTTCTGGTGAAAGCCTTCTACAAATTCAGCTTCTTGTTGCACTGCGGAATTTTGTGATTGCTCTTGGTTATCATTCTCCTATTTGCTATAGCATTCTGCTCCCAATTCTCCAAAAGGGCATTGACATTAATAGCCCTGATGCACTCAACCTTCTGGAAGATAGCATGGCGGTAAGTTTCCACTTAATAAGACGTAAACGTTTCTTTTCGGCTAATACAGATGTATTATACAAAAATGACACTGCGCTGCATATGCAGTTATGGGAGACTACACTTTCCTATGCCCCTATGATGGTGCCGCAGCTATTAGCATGCTTTCCCTATATGGTGGAGATCATTGAAAGAAGTTTTGATCACTTAAAGGTTCGTTTTTTAAGTTTTCAAGGAGTTGACGTTGTGATTCATTAATTACGTAGCGTTGTGTGCTCTGATATATTGAAACATGTTACCAATCATACCTTAAGACATTCAAATCAACATTTGAACCAAATGTAGGTTGCTGTGAGTATCATGGAATCGTACATCATTTTAAATGGAGGGGAATTTCTAAATATGCATGCTTCAAGTGTCGCAAAGATTCTTGATCTCATTGTTGGAAATGTAAATGATAAGGGGCTACTCTCGATTCTTCCGGTGATTGACATCTTAGTTCAGGTATAATTTCTCTTTCCCAATTTTCGAAAAAAAATCATGGGAAACTTATACCCCCGTTAAGTTTGTATTTACGCTGCATTTATCTTTTTTCCTCACATACCATATCTTTTCGTATACACGCAAATTGACCAGTGGTGGAACTTTAAATAACAACTTATTGATGTAAACATTTACTCTTGTCTGGTATAGTGTTTTCCCGTGGAAGTGCCCCCTCTTATCAACAGCTGTTTGCAGGTAATTTTCTAGTTTCTTTTGATTGATGGAAGATTCATATTCTTCCTTGACACAATTAATGGAGTTGGCTTGTTGGTATCTCTCAGAAACTGGTGATTATATGCTTGAGTGGAGGAGATGACCGAGATCCAGCCAAGACTGCAGTTAAAGCGTCCTCAGCTGCTATTCTGGCACGGATTCTGGTGATGAATACCGCATACTTGGCCCAGTTAACATCTGAACCATCTCTCTCGTTGTTACTCCAACAAGCAGGGGTCACAATCGAAGACAATGTACTCATTTGCCTCACCGACATTTGGCTCGACAAGGTCAGTGGAGAACTTTCTTGAACGATAACTGGTTGTTTAGTCAGCTTTCTAGAACTTTAACTGGTTTACAATGGGCTTGCGGGAATCTTTCATAAATCTTCCTCTTTTTCTAATCCTAAACCATAGCTCGTTTTCAAACTGCTCTGTATGTTGCAATGCATATTATCCGATTACATCTACTCTTGTGCAGGTGGATCATGCGTCTCCTATGCAAAAGAAGACATTTGGATTGGCTCTTTCCATAATACTTACACTTAGAATGCCTCAAGTTCTTGACAAGCTTGATCAAATACTAAGGTACAGGCTTGCACAATCGAATATTAAAAAAAATGATATATGTATGTACATTACATAACTGATCGTGTTTCTTGAAACAGTACATGCACCAGTGTAATCCTTGGTGGAGATAAAGATCTAACGGAAGAAGAATCAAGGTTACATTAAGTTTAATTGCTTGTAGAAGTATATAATTTCCAAGCGAAGTTAGCAACACAAAGTATTTCTTGTCTGAAAAACATACAATTTGTAATTTCAGCGGTGACATGAGCTCAGGCAGGTCTCAAGGAGAAGAAGCCCCACATAGCAAAGAGTTGCGGAAAAGTCAGGTAAACGTTGATCATTCTTTTGCTATTGTTTTTAACGAAATAGGTACCAGAAAACAATTGATTTTAACGCAAATTGTTTTTTTTTTGGATCCTGATCAGATCAAAGTTTCAGATCCAGTCTACCAGCTGTCACTAGAGAACTCAATGCGTGAGAATCTTCAGACATGTTCTACACTTCATGGAGATGCCTTCAATTCTGCCATTAGTAGGATGCACCCATCAGAGCTTGCACAAGTGAAGCAAGCCTTAAAACTGCCGTGATTAAGTATGTGTTTGCGTATTCATTGTTCGTTTCCATGTTACTTAAGGAGCAACAACAGTATTGAAGTGAGTTTCTGATCCCTCATTATTCTTCCTTTTTTCATATTGAGTGCTGTGGTGGCATTTGTGTATGGTATGGTGATGCATTTCCACCATATGATCTGACTCAAACCAACTTCATAATCTGTTCAGGTGAGTGAGTTTTTCTTCTCTTTACGGGTTTTGATGGGTGTGCATAGTCTCCTCTGCGACCTTGGCGGTTTGAGGAACTCTGCGTTTATGTTTGGTGAGGTGTGTCCCTTGTCTCCGTGTGCGATTTTTTTGCTCTACAAGGACAGAAGAAGGGAGTCGTTAAAAACAACTTATTTTTACTTCCATATGCTTGAGTTTAAAATGTCACATCATTCTTTCAGCACATCGTTTTTTGTCCCAGTGTTTCAAAAACAAGTAAAAATATATCAGGGTCTGTCGTGGCCCAAGAGGTTTTAACAATATATGAGGAATATAGGTCGTAGTGGTTGAGTCTCGTTCTTCACTTTTCTACTCTATTTGATGTATTATTACTCTCAACTGATACAACGATTTAAACAGTTTGGTTACATTACTCTACCGCCTACATGATCCATACCTTCATTTATCCACCTAGCTGGAGAATATCTATGCCCATTGTTCACGAAATTCTCTTTAAGCTATTACACATCTCACACAACACTGTTCACCAAGATACGAATAAACAATGAAGGTAATATATGTCTCTATATATAAAACATATTGATTCTAGATTTAAGCAAATGTGTCTGGATAAAGTTATCAAACATGGCATATAAAACTGATCTTTCTTTTTCAAGGAAACACATGCTCAGTGTTCGTGTACAAAGAAATCATTATTAATGATAAACAAGAAATCCAAAATGGTGAAGTATGTAATTTTAATCATCTGTTTTCATTTCTTCGAAGGCTATTCACTTCCGGTACTGTCGAAGCTCTTTTACAACACCGTCGGTCAACGAGTCAACGTCATGATTCTTCCCGTAGAATTTCACAAAATTCATCTCCGGACTCATCAAGTACCTTCACCCACAACACAACACATGTTCTTTACATTAAAACTCCAACCCAAACAAAACAAAAAGCTCAAAACACTACCGAGTCCAGAAGACAAATATCGTATGTATATTGTGCCTGTCAACATGTGTGACTGAGCATATCGACTTTCTTGCTGATAATTATATAAGAAGTCCAAACAAAAGAAAAACTGTGTAAAGGGGTAAAAAATACACTTACATGACTATAGAGTGATCAACGAGATAGTCTGAATCTTCCTCTTCGGTCTTCATGTAGTAAACCCGGTAAGAACGGGCCACCGATTTGATTTCTTCAGGGGTCCCGGTTAACCCAATCAATTTGGGATGAAACTCTACAAAAAAAATATTTAAACTATATGAATTTTCATTTAAAAAAAAATCTTACTAAGTTGAAAAAACAATCTACCTTTGACATATTCATGTACTTGTTGAACCGTGTCTCTTTCAGGATCCACAGAGATAAACACCGGCACCACATCTACTCCCGACTTTTCCTCTGTGTAAAATGTGATAGAATCTTAGAGAAGACATATCCCAATGTTCAATCACTCAAAACAAAGCAAAAAAGAGTAAGACAACTCACTTATTTTGTCAATGGCAGCAGCTAGCTTAATAAGCTCGTCAGGACAGATATCAGGACAATGAGTGAACCCAAAGTATAAGATGGTCCATTTTCCCATCAAGTCTTTCTCCGTAATACGTTTCCCATCATCTCTTATAAGGCTGAATGGTCCTCCAATGGCTGCTTTTCCAGCAGATGGTCCCTCCTTGACAGCTTTAGAATTGGTATTTATATCTAGGCCAACAACAAGAACCCAAGTCAATATACGCATAAGAACAGAGAAAAAGTAATAAGACGTTAGAAGATTCATGAATTCACCACAAGTATACGTAAAATCACAAAGAATTCAAAGAATGATTGATTTGATCAGTCCCTTTACCATGATCAAGATTATCACTAACCATACAAGTAGTTTAATTCCACTCATATAGTTTCAGATATCGTTTGAAAGGGCTACAAATCATGCATTCAATTAGAAAGGTTTTATAACAATACATTTTAAAGCTCCATTGATTTGTACTCAAAATCCAAAAATTGGTAGCTTATATGATCAACTTCACATTACATTTCACGATATCTCCAACTCACCATAAGAAGACTACCTTCGATATGACGTTTCTTTTCCCGATCATAGTAGTACACCAATCCAGCTCCAGTAGCAAACAGCAAGAAGAAGCTCATCCACGAAACCGGCTATATTTACCAAAATGCCACAATCAGAACACCATAACAGTCCAGATATATCTAACTTTAATTCAAGAGCCTACCGCTCCACGAGCGTTTTTCCCAGATGTACGTTCACTTTTCTCATCGGAACCTCCACCTGAACCCTCAGATCCTCCAGATTTCTCGTTTTCACCGGAAGATTTCGTCTCCGATTCACCAGAGCTAGGCTTAGAGGTTGCATCAGAAGCAGAAGTGCTCAGCAAACGTCTCTGATCCATCTTAAACCGTTCGATTCCACCGCTAAGTGTAACCAACTGCAAAAACAAACATGGCAGTTACAAGAATGAAAACCTAACAGATTTAGAAAACGAAAAAGTAGCTGCCGAACCGATCTAGGAAGAGAGATATCTCCATGATCGGAGATGCACGGCGGAGAAGGAGACGAGAGTAGATCACTTGAGGCGCGAAGTCGGCGAAGAATCTGAACGGGACGAAGACGGCTTGCGGTTCTACAAAGAGCAGACGCCATTGACGACGACTCGACTTTTCTCTCAAATTCGCTGGGGTTTAATCTGAAATGAGAGCAAGAGAGGTTTTACACAATAATAGTAAAACGGCAAGGTGTGCGCACGCTTTTCATATAAACGTCATACTGTTTGGTTTCTACAGGCCCATTGTTATGTAGCGTTACGGCCCGTTAAGCTATTTTAGACTTTAGGTTTCCACAATTTTTGTATATCTAAAATTTACACCCATGATTAGCTCATTTATCACACTATATACCACCTATATTTCAAAAAAGATCCAATCCACCCAGGTTTTTCGAAAATTTGAAGCTGACAAAAAAATCAGACACAATAGATTCAAAAGAAACCACCAACAAATGATGAATCAATCAATTTTTTTAATTAAATGTAATAAAAAATCTTTTAAAAACTTAAATAAATGTTATATTTTTATACAGTTTGAGATCTGTCTATTTTTAAATCAAGTATGTTGGCTTTATCAAAGATAAATATTATATTCGATAAAAAAATTCAAAAGTCTGGGGGTTTTATGTGGATGAATTAAACGTCACGGGGTTATTCTGTAAATATAGACTTTTAAGCTTCTTTTGCGTTGCCCTTCTTCCCCCACCCGCTGCTTCTTTATATTCGAAAAACCCCTCTTTGTTGTCAGTCTCATCTCTGTCTCTCCTTCGAAAATATTTTCAACTCCTCTCTCAAATCTCTCTCGTTTCTTTAGGGTTTTTTTTTGCTAATCCACAAGGTTTTACACCTGCGTCTTCGATAAGATTCCTCGAGTCGCTGTGTTTTGGATTGGATCCCCAAAAACCCTAGCTCTTACGCTTTTTTTTAACTCAAACCTAAATCCCTTCATTTCCATGTAAAATCTCTTCCTCTAACTGTTTATTTAAGCTTTTCGATTCGCATCTGATTAATAGATCTATGCTTCTCTGATTAGGTTTTTAGGTCTCACTAACTTGCTAGGGCTTTTGTAGCTTTGCTTGTTTGATTTTGCTACAGTTTCGGCTTTTAACGTTCTCTGATTTTGAGCACGTGGACGGTTCTGATTACTTGATAGGGTTTTGTATCACTGATTCGCTTTATTATTGTTTTCTCAGATTAAAATCTGTTTTAAGTATTATTGTTTTTAACTTTGTTCATTAGATAAGTCATTGTTACTGAGATTTTGTTGTGTGTTTTTACTGTTGCAGAGGCAATAATGGCGATGGAGATCACACAGTACCTACTCGCTGCTCAATCACCCGACGCGAGAGTCCGTACCGAAGCGGAGAATAGTCTCAAGCAATTCCAAGAACAGAACTTGCCTCAGTTTCTGTTATCCCTCTCCGTCGAGCTCGCCAACAACGAGAAGCCTTCCGAGTCCCGTAGACTAGCTGGTATCTTGCTGAAGAACTCTCTAGACGCGAAAGACTCGGGGAGGAAAGAGCTTCTTGTGAAACAGTGGTTTGCGATTGACTTAGCTCTTAAGGCTCAGATCAAGGAGCTGTTGTTAAGGACCATTGGCTCTTCTGTCTCTGAAGCGAGGCAGACTTCGGCTCAGGTGATTGCTAAGGTGGCTTCCATTGAAGTTCCGCAGAAGCAGTGGCCTGAGCTTGTGGGATCGTTGCTTAATAATATGACGCAGCAGGATAGTCCTGCTCATTTGAAGCAGGCGACTTTGGAGACTTTGGGGTATGTCTGTGAGGAGATTTCGCATCATGATTTGGTGCAGGATGAGGTGAACTCTGTGCTCACAGCGGTTGTGCAGGGGATGAACCAGTCTGAGAATAATGCGGAAGTTCGTCTCGCGGCGACGAAGGCGTTGTTGAATGCGTTGGATTTTTCGCAGACGAATTTCGAGAATGAGATGGAGAGGAATTATATCATGAAGATGGTGTGTGAGACGGCTTGTGCTCATGAGGCTGTGATCAGGCAAGCTGCTTTTGAGTGTCTTGTTTCCATTGCGTCAACGTACTATGAGGTTTTGGAGCAGTACATGCAAACGCTCTTTGAGCTAACGGCAAAGGCTGTGAAGGAAGATGAAGAGAGCGTTGCTTTGCAAGCGGTTGAGTTCTGGAGTACTATCTGCGATGAGGAGATTGACCGTCAGGAGTATGACAGTCCTGATACTGGTGACTCGTCTCCTCCTCATTCAGGTTTCATTGAGAAGGCTCTTCCACATATAGTTCCCATGTTGCTAGAAACCTTGGAGAAGCAAGACGAGGATCAGGATCATGAAGATGATGTCTGGAACATTTCTATGGCTGGTGGAACATGCCTTGGCCTTGTTGCTAGAACGGTTGGTGATGGTATAGTCCCGCTGGTGATGCCTTTTGTTGAAATCAACATAAGGAAGCCAAACTGGCGAAGCAGGGAGGCAGCAACTTATGCTTTTGGATCAATTCTGGAGGGTCCAACAATTGATAAGCTTGCCCCGATGGTTGCTGCCGGTTTGGAATTTCTCCTTACTGCAACCAAGGATGAGAATAACCACGTCAGGGACACAACTGCTTGGACTCTGAGCCGTATCTTTGAGTTTTTGCACACCCCAGACAGTGGCTTCTCTGTTATATCACCCCAAAACCTCCCTAGAATAGTGGTTGTACTTTTGGAATCGATGAAAGATGTGCCAAATGTGGCTGAGAAGGTCTGTGGAGCGATATACAACCTTGCCCAAGGATATGAAGACGCTGGAGCAAGTTCATCTCTTCTCTCTCCCTATCTTACAGAAATCATCCAACATCTGCTTGCAGCTGCTGAGCGTACAGATGGGGCAGAGTCTAAGCTAAGATCTGCTTCATATGAAACCTTGAACGAGGTTGTCCGGTGTTCCAACCTTATTGAGGCCGCAGGCATCATAGGGCAGCTCCTCCCTGTCATCATGGCGAAATTGGGTCAGACAATGGACCTCCAAGTAGTAACTACTGAGGACCGTGAGAAGCAAGCGGAACTCCAGGCTTCTCTGTGTGGTGTTCTCCAGGTCATAATCCAGAAGCTGAGTAGCAAGGATGAGACGAAACCCATCATAATGCAGAACGCAGATCAGATCATGATGCTATTTCTCAGAGTGTTTGGATGCCACAGTTCAAGCGTCCATGAAGAAGCAATGCTTGCAATCGGTGCTCTTGCGTATGCGACTGGTGCTGAGTTTGCAAAATACATGCCTGAGCTCTTTAAATATCTCCAGACGGGGCTGCAGAATTTCGAGGAGTACCAAGTCTGCTCGATCACAGTAGGAGTGGTTGGTGACATTTGCCGTGCACTGGATGAGAAAATCCTACCGTTCTGTGATCAGATCATGTCTCTCCTAATCCAGAACCTTCAGAGCGAAGCACTCCACAGGTCGGTTAAACCTCCAATATTCTCATGTTTTGGAGACATTGCTCTGGCGATTGGTGGGCAGTTTGAGAGGTATGTAGCTACAGCTCTTCAGATCATGCAAGGGGCTGCTCAGGTTTGTGCTCAGATGGACACTCTTGACGAAGAGCTTATGGATTATGGAAACCAACTCAGGAGAAGCATCTTTGAGGCTTACTCTGGGATACTACAAGGGTTCAAGGACGCCAAGGCTGACCTCATGGTGCCCTACGCTCAACATCTCCTGCAGTTTGTTGAACTTGTTTCCAAAGATTCCCTCAGGTTCGTATCATTCCCTATAAAGAATCAATTTATGTCTTCTGTAGAATACTTGAAACTTACTACTGTGTTATTTTTTCTGTGGGAGAGTAGGGATGAGAGTGTGACGAAAGCAGCTGTTGCAGCAATGGGTGATCTTGCGGATGTTGTAGGAGAGAAGACGAAGCCATTGTTCAGCAACTTCACCTTCTGTGGTGAGTTCCTCAGTGAATGTCTCGACTCAGAAGATGAAGACCTCAAGGACACTGCACGCTGGGCTCAAGGGATGATCGCAAGGCTTATGGTCACATCGTAATACTAAAGCCCTTTTCATCATCTCTCTCTCTCTCTCTCTCTGGTCGTATTGGTTTTGAGTTAAGAATCAAAAAAAAAAAATATTCTCTTTTCTCTACCGAATGTTGTGGGATATTGGTTAGAGGGGTTTCGGAAATTGTTTTTTTTTTTTCGAGTCGAGTCAATCTATGTTAAAGGAGCTTGTGTCTTATTTGTCAAAACAATATTTCTTTGTTTTTGTTGGTCAATGCCATTGTCCACTTATGGTTGTCTTTTTTGAGTCAATTCTCTATCTTTCTCCACTTCTGTGTTTAGCTTCAGTTTTATATGTTAAGTTACTGTGATGAGAAGACAGTGAAAATGAGGTTACGGCTCATAATCATTAGTCCAATGACCACGAGATTTTATCACTAAACCTCTGAAGAAGTTTTTTTTATAGTTATACAAACTTGTCTTGAAGATGGACATCATCATTATAGATTTCATCACTAAACCTTTCAAGAAGTTTGTTTATACTTAAAACAAACTTTTGTCTTGAAGATGGACATCATTACAACATCATTACATAACACCAATAAAAAAGGCAAAGCAAACAGATCAAGAGGAGGTGAAGGTGTCGATGATGGTGGTGTGAAGCGGGTCACTAAGGTGAGTAGCCCAGTTGTTGAGGGGTCCTTTACCCGTTGCAGCCGCTTGAACCGCAAATCCCAAGAAGGCAACCATTGCTAAACGAGCGTGTTTGATCTCAGCCAACTGAAGCTGAGCCTTCTTCTCCGGGTCAGAAGCTAACCCAAGCGGGTCGAAGAACTTGCCTCCTGGATACAAACGCTTCTCCGAGTCAAGCTCAGCGTTTCTTTGGAACTCAATGTAACCAACCACCAACACTTCGATCCAAATCAATGTCGAGATCGAGAACGGTAGTGGCTGTCCTAAATATGACGATCCATCCACTAACTCTACCTGTTAAAAACCAAAAAAAAAAATCACATAATGTTAAAACGCAAAACGCAAACACGGTTTGACAAAACGCTACGAGAAAAGAAGTGTTAAAACCTTGCCAGCATCTTGCCAAGTAACGCCGGTGAGCCATTCGACGGAGAGAGCACCGAGAGTTGCAAGCATTGCCCATCTCCCGTGGATCAGCTCACACTCTCTGAATCTCTGGAGACCAAAGACCTCACTGTAAGGCTGAAACGGCGTTGACTTGGGGTCAACGGCCTCGGTACGTGTCCCAATCACGTCTCCAGCTATATTCTTGGCTAAGTTCTGGTCCAAAGAGTCAAGATCAAACTGGAGATACTCAGCCGGTTTACCTAAACCGAAAGGGTCGAAACCGTAGTCTCCGACCAGCGAACCGTCGAGATACTCTGGGGATTTCGCGCCTGGGAACCATAGAGGCCGGTCTGAGATAACGGTTTTAGCCTTTTTGGGAGCAGCTTTCTTGGTCCCGAAGCCAAACCGGGCTGTGAACCGGCTTGAACCGGAGTTGATGTCGGAAACCACCCGAGTACCCATGATAGAGGAAGCTGCAGCGGCTGTTGAAGTGGCGGCCATCTTCAGAGTTGTTTGTGTTTAGCACACGTTTTGTGAGTTGTTGTGATGTTCTGTAAAGATATGAGCAGAGTAACGTTTTTAAGTCCTTGTATGTGCATGGAAGATGTGGAACTTGGAGATCTCAGGGAAAGATTATTGACGGTTGGATCGAGAAACAAATCCATCTGACGGTGGAAAATAAGCTCAGCCTTATCTATTGTGTAAGTTAGCGTTATCCAAGAATCTTTAAGAGAGTTAGATGAGGAAGAAGCTGATTGGGCAATAGAGGCTATTGGCAAATCTTGTACAATGCCATTTGTCACTTCAGCAGCACATGCCATCAACAAAAATCCACTTGTGTTTTAAGACAATCAATCAGTACTCTCATTGCAAAATGGACGACATTTTATTATTAAACAAACAGTATCACTTTAAGAAATACAATTTATAATTATTTTAAAATTCATATTAATTATAAATTTCAATTAACTGAATTTATAATTTTATTTATTTCAACTATTATTAATTAAAATAAAACCATAAGTATATTTTGATTATTATATTTTAGTCCAATAATTATATTCTAGTCTTTGTGAAAAATGTCAAAAATACATTTTTCAATTAATGTTCTGAATGGTAACATGTTGGGATAATTACGATCTAAGTATGGTATGGCTCAAATAGTAATAAAAACATATAGATATATGTAGAGATTTTTGTTACTATACACAGCGGTGCGGGGCGGTTGGTTACTATTTGAAGCCTAAGTGCGTTAAACCAAAACAAGATCATGATGATCTCATGACAATCCTTGAATTCAGCTGATCCGGTTAGTCAAATTCATTACAAAACCGGAGAAGTGTTTATATCACCAACGGAGAAAGACTGAAAAGTAGGTATCATGTTCGGTGGCTGTGGATCTGAGTTGCTGAAATATACATATGGACGCATCAGCTGAACCAGAAAAACCATTGAGATATCGAAGACAATGGTTCACAAACATCTTCTAAAATTCAAATAAGCTTCTCATTAAAAAAACGATTACATAATCTAGCATCCGAAACAGTACAATAGACCAAGACAGGAAGATTGCAACAGCCAAACAGTGAATACACAAGAAAGAAAAAAAAAACATTTCAAGTAAAGAACCTCAGAATCACAAGCAGTCTCCAAACACTTCTGGAATCGATGAACCAGAAAAAAAGTGGACACTTCGTCGGCAACACTCAAATCAGATCTCTGGTGAGGGCAACTTGGAAGAACAGAAACAGTGCAAATGATTTTACATTAAGAAGAGAGCTGGAAACGGGCGCTTGGCTTTTTTCTTCTCCATCCCTATCAATACCACAAAGAGCATAAATGATTCTCCAGACATTTATATATAAAAAAAAAAGACAGAACTGGGGAGTAAGAGGAAGATGAAACATGACTTACGAAGGTAATGTAATATAGAAATGTCAGTCCAGCCAGAATAACAAACCCGATTTGAAACACGTTGTACCTGAAAGATTATACCAGATCGATCACTCAATGAGACATGAGAGAGATGTAAGATAAGACTGTTATATGTTTAACCATTATTACTTACTTGTAGAGGTACTTAATTCCTCTAAGGGATTGTAGTGTGTGACCGAAGATCTCTTGAGCAGCAGTGGCTTGTGCGTAATATCCAAAGGCAGTGGCGCAGAACTGAATCACACTGCAAGTTAAAAGAACCACAGTTTAGATAGTGACGGCAAATGTAGTTTACACACTGGTCGCATGATCCTACCTGGGAGAAGATAAAAGAGACAGAAAAAGAAGAGACAAGATAGACCTACCTGATGGAACAGAGAAGAATGAGCCCAACATTGAAGAGGAAAGAGTTCATTAGAGTAGCTCCCCATCTGATAACACGTTGATATAGCCAATTAGAAACTAAAGAAAAGGGAATGAAACTGGAGAACAACCAAACAATTTTAAAACCACTAGGTTGGTTACTTCATTGGATGAATGGTAATGAAGACGAGCTTCAAACCCAGCATCATTGCCCCAGCGATAACAGCAAGTAGAAGGTAGAAACAGAAGAAAGCAAATGCAGCAGTGCCTAGAAGACCTGGAGAATATCACACATACATCATAAAGTCAGGCAGAGACATAATGAACCTTGTATAGATTTAACATAACAAGAACAGAAGTATGAACTTACCCCAAACGTCATCAAGCTTAATAAAAACCTCGTTAAGAAAAGGGGAGAGAGGAGGGTCCACAAGTAGATATATGATGATGTGTGCAACCCAAGCAATAGAAACGATCAATCTACAAGGACATAAACAAAAAAAACCATTAAAGAGGCTTAGCTAAGGATCTTCAGACCTCTATGAGTGATTTATATAACATTTAGCCAATAAACTAAAGCCATAACACACACAAAAAAACTGTAAATAAGATTATTTGTAGTAAACACTAACCCTATGATTCCAAGAATAAACTTGGCTAAGTATCCGAGTACAGTGAAAGCCCATGCAGTTTCTGCCTGAAAAGAACAAGGCCATAGAAGAATTAGACAACTCAAATATTATAGATGAAGTTCTAAGATACACAAGTCTTACCTTCTCTCCTTGAGGATACGCTTCTTCTAAGAGGTTCACATCTTCCTCCAATTGGAGCAACTCCTGCAGGTTAAACAACATTCAGTTACAGGAATCAGGGACATTAAGAAATTAAAATCCAAAATCAAACACAGTAAAGCTGCCTATAAACCCAGTGACTCTATATCATAACCAATTCTGCATCTCAGCACTTTCGACTGTGCATATGAACAAAGTTTCTTTGCACGCCAGAGATCAGACTCGATAGGAAACATTATCCAAGTTTTATTATGAAACAAAAAATGAGATAAGATACCAAACCCTGAGATCAATTATGTACCTTTTCAACTGCTTTCACATTCTTCCTCCATTTCCTGCCCTTAGCACCACTTCTTTCTTCCTGATGAAGTCCATCAGCTGCTTTCTTTAGTTCTCTTGCCTTTTTACCTAGTTCAGTTGCTTCCTGTAAAACATTCATACAGTTTTCTTAGAAAGTGAGAGTGGAAATGACACAAGATCTAGAAGACATGCTTTCATAGAAGAACAACAACCGAACCTTTATATACTGTGACCGAGTGATAACAGCCTTTGGTCGCCTGATGAATGCAGTGATAAGTCCTAATGGTAGGCAGGCAATACCAACGCCACCGAATATCTAGCAACATTACAGAGGACATTCAGTTATCCGATTTTTTATGGAAATCTAAATATCAAACACTTTAAACTAATGTTTTATGGACAAGTCCTATCCTTTCGAAGTATACAAGGCACTACTCAACATGATAGAACAATGCTCTTACCGTGAAAAGAACTGACCCAACAATTGTTGCAAGAGCAACAACGTATTCTGGAAAAGTAGTACGCATGGTCCACGTCTTCTCAGATGCGACGCTAGCTGTAAATGCTGAGCACTGCATCGGTTAACCAGAGACAGAGGAAACATGTTACATACTGAAACTCTCAAAGTAATAAAGAAATCATGATAAGCAAATATTACCTGGCGAGCGTTGTTACCAATACATGGTTCGTTATTTGAAAATTGCCAGGAAGTAGGAAAAGAGGTCGTCCCAGAAGCCAAGTGCCTGACAGTGAAGTCCACCTTCCCAATAACACCTAACATTGACGTAAAAAACATTCAAAGAGTGACTCCAACGAAACCAAACACAAATATTCTAAGCTATTCCTAGCACAAATATTAAAAAAAATCTCAAATTCTCAACCCAAGGCCTAATTAGGTAATTTATCAGCTAAAATTTACAAAGAAATGTAGTCTAAAGAGTGTAAACAAGACCAAAACCAGATGAAAGTCGACACTAAATGCTCACTAACAGTTTCAGCCATGAAGTCAGCAGAAAAATTGATAACAGAGGAAAAGCTAACCGTATAATATCCCAAGCACCAGAGCACAAACAACAGCCGTGCTTACAACCCAAAGCAAAGCACTCTTTATCCTCTTTCCCAAACTCCTGAAGAGAAGAAACAAAGCAAACCCACAAAAACAATCTATCAAACAAATACAAAAAAAAAAAAAAGATAATTAATTTCATAAAGACACGAACTTGTCCTGGTCCCCTTCATAGAAAAACATCGCAAAGGGAATAACAAAGAAGACAAGTATCGCATCCACGATATAAACAGCAAGCCACAGCTCCTTCATGGGCAACGTGAGATTACAAGCTCCGTTATAAATAGCGTGCCGACAAGCGTGCCGATTCGCCACGTCAGCAGGCAACATGAGAATCGAGATCATGGAGATGGATAGCCCGAAAACGACGACGAATTTGGGGAAATAAGCTTGGTTCGCGTCGTCTGGATGCTGGTAATTGACGAGGAGGTAGATGCTTGAGATGAATACGATGACGCAGACGACGATGGCGACTATCACGAGAGCGAGGTTGAAATCGCCCATCGTGTGTGATGATGTATGACGTCACCCAATTCGGAGAGATTCTGGTTTCAAAGAAACGATTTTGAATGAAATTGGAAAAAAGTTAGGGTTTTTTTTTGGTGTTGGAATTTTTGAAAAATTGAATTTTGGGGATTTGAGCAGATCTGACGGAGGAAAGAGGAAGATGATGAATGGGAAATTACGTAGTTGCCCTCACTTGGGTTATGTAATTACGTCGGAATAAGACAATAGTGTGCCAGATGGTTTCGGGTGTAAAACGTCCTTTTTTTATAATGTCTGAAGACAAGCTGTCTGAAGCGTAATGATTTTTGGTAATAAAACAACATAACCGCGCCGTAACTGGTTCAACTAGATAAACCGGACACATTTAAATTTCACTGTCGGAAGCGTAAGGATTTTTGGTAATAAAACAATAGAATGGCGCCGTAACCGGTTCAACTAGATAAACCGGACACATTTAAATTTCAATTTTTTTTCTTCTTATTGAATAAAAATTTAACGGTTCTCTTTGCCAAAGCTCTGTAACAATACAAGTAGTTTGAGGAAATAGTATGATGCGCCACCTATTGTTGCAAACCGAAGCTCTTCTGGTCCTTCAATCTCTGAAAAATCTCCTTCGGTTGCTCGGTTAAACCCTCCGGTTAACCATCCTAAGCTTTTGTAACCTTCTCTGTGCAGCTTTGATATTGCCATCAATGACCTAAGATTGTGAGCAAACCAATTACATTTAACCAAACAAATTCAGAGTCAAAATAAACCGGACTCAGTGTGATAAACCAAAATGCACCAGCTACTTTATTACCTGAGTCCTTCACCGCACGCGACAAGCACTTTACTCTTCTTGTCCGGGAAAGCCTCGACAACATGGAGGGTAAACTCGTCATTAAACATGGTGAATCTCTGGCCCGTCCAAAGCCCAATGTACCCCAAATGAATCCATTTCTTCAGCAGCGTGATCGGCCCATTGTCTGGATCCTCCACGAACAGTGGCACGTGTAAGGACCCTTTCACATGTGCCTTTTCTCTCTCCCAAGCCGGCCTCACGTCTAGTAGCACGTATCCCTCCGACGATACCAACGTTTTGGCTTCTCTCGGCTCCACCGCCCGAACCTCACCCGAAGTTACCAGTTGCTTACCGGATACGGCGGAGATCACTGGTGATCTATACGGTTTTCGGTGGTGTTGGTTTGAGATTAGTAGTGGCTTGTTGATATGGTTTAATTGAGGAAGAAGAAGTGTCGTCATCTCTAAATTTTTTTAATTTTCTAGAGGGAATTTAACAGAACTTTATCTATTTAATTTTTTTTGCTTGCTGATGAGGATTTTTTATGATATTTCGCCAATTGTGTTTCTCCATGTGTCATACAGTGCTCTTTTAGCCTATCCTAATTCGCCATGTGTCATGCGAACCGAAATAACGGCTAAGGAAGAATTTGTTAGGATAATAATGAATATGGGCCTAAAAATAATTAATAGCATACAAATGGGCCGATCAATAACAGAACCACTCGGAGATCAATCGTCACGTGTCTTCTTATGTAACGGACCGGTACAACTTTGATCGAGTTAGGTTTCAACTGAAGAAGCTCGAGACATTGAGAACGAAGAAGAGAGAATCCAAAAAAAAAAAAGAAGAGGAGGAAGAACAATGGGAGTCGATTATTACAAGGTTCTTCAAGTTGATCGTAACGCGAAAGACGAAGACTTGAAGAAAGCGTATCGCAAACTCGCCATGAAGTGGCATCCCGACAAGAACCCTAACAGCAAAAAAGAAGCCGAATCCAAATTCAAACAAATCTCCGAGGCTTACGATGTAAAATTCTATTACACAAACTCGAGTTTTATTACATATCCAAGCAAAAGTTTCAATTTTTTTCTGGAGAATTTTAATTTTGATCAGTTCGTTAGTTTCTCTCTGATGGAAGTAAAGTGAATAAATGTACCAAATCACAAAACTTTTGTGGAAAAACACTATTAATGATATGTTCTTATGATGTTTTGATTGGTTACATTGGTTCCAAGGTATTGAGCGATCCTCAAAAGCGAGCAATATACGATCAAGATGGAGAAGAAGGTCTAAACAGGCAAGCTCCACCTCCCGGTGCTGGCGATTTTCCAGGTGGAGAAGCTTCGTTCCGGTTCAACCGGAGAAGTGCTGATGATATCTTCTCGGAGTTCTTTAATTACTCGAGAGCCTTTGATGGTGACTCACGGTTTCCGTTCGGTGAGGACGTTTTCTCTAATGCTCCACCTAGAAAAGCTGCTCCTGTAGAGACACAACTTCCTTGTAGTTTGGAGGATTTGTATAAAGGAACCACCAAGAAGATGAAAATCTCAAGGGACGTTATTGATTCGTTCGGGTACTACTTCCTTCAATTTTTTTTTAGCTACCCCTATGCTTTTTTTCATTTACATTATTATGCATTGATGTTTAAGAAACTATCTCCTTAGAGCATGATTAACACGGAGTTCTTAACGGGAGTTAAGAAACTGGTTTTTAATTTTTAACTAAAAAAAGTTAAGAACCGGTTCTTAAATAAAGACTTTAAGAATCGGTTCTTAACTTTTTTAGTTAAAAGTTAAGAAATAGATTCTTAACTTCCGCTAAGAACTCCACCTTAAAAAATTCTTGATTAAATATGGTCTTAGAGCATGACCCATATGGAGTTCTTAGAGCATGATTTGACATTTTTTGATTAAGAGGCGTCTCGTATATCTTTTATTTCTTAGTTTTTCTTAGTTAAAAGATAGGAAACATATCTTATATTACATTAAGAACTGCACCCTAAGAGACCCATTAATCATGCTCTTATGGATTTAAAGTTCCCAATTATTGATTTGTTCATAAAGTTTTACTAAGAAGGGTCGAGATTGGTAGTTTTTATCTTTGAGTTGTGTAGAGTGAGCTTATTCGAGTTGCGGTTTTGAGGATAAACACTAAGAGACACTAGAGTTACTTTCAATGTTAAAAAGAAATCAATATACTGGTAACTAGACTTGTATAGATTATAGATATAACAACTAGGCGGATTATTTAGGTTCTAGAATAGTAGATGATTATGCATTAACGAATTAGTATTTGTTTATTTCTTATTATTTTTAGTTTAATTATAAAATTATTTTAATTAAATATACAAAAAGAATTTGCATTGAGCTGTTTCAATGCAGGAGAAGCTCGACGGTGGAAGAGATCATGGCGATAGTAATCAAGCCTGGATGGAAGAAAGGGACAAAGATAACCTTCCCTGAGAAAGGAAACGAGCAGAGAGGAATCATACCTTCAGATCTTGTATTCATAGTTGATGAGAAGCCACACGCTGTATTCAAAAGAGACGGGAACGACCTTGTTATCACGCAGAAGATCCCTCTCGTGGAAGCACTCACTGGCTACACTGCTCAGGTCACGACTTTAGATGGTAGAACGCTAACGGTTGCTGTTAACAACGTGATCAGCCCTTCCTATGAAGAGGTTGTGAAAGGAGAAGGCATGCCGATTCCTAAAGATCCCTCAAAGAAAGGGAACTTGAGAATCAAATTCAATATTAGGTTCCCTTCGAGGTTAACAACAGAGCAGAAGGCTGGAATCAAACGGATGTTTTCTTCTTCTTAGATTATTTTAGTTTTAAAACCTTCACTGTCTTTCTTGCTACATTTGAGTTGTTTTTTTTTTGGATCTTTTGGGCGGTCGCTGTGAATTGCGTAGGTGTGTGGCCGTGTGAATGTTTTGTTTGGGCGGTCGTACGATTCATAAATTACTTCTCATTTGGGTTTCTCAACGTTCTTACACATCTTTTATTTGTTCTTTGTTTACAAGTTATTAGATTGAACAAAAAATAACTAAATAAAGATTCGTAACAAAGAACACATCTTTTCTGGCAAGAAGAGGCCTTACCTTTCTTTCAATCAGTGACTCTTCCTAAAGAATGTGACTCAGTGCAGCAATGCTACTTGGAGGTAGCTAAGCTCGTGAAAGAGAAACTTGGTAAGGTGGATCCTTACTTCATCAAGCTTGCAGATGGAATGGTCACTTGGATCGAAGCTTGGGAGGAGCTTAACGCTCCAAAAGTAATTGAGACCAATGCACCAAACGCTAAAAATGAAAAGGTCAACGAATAAAGCAAATGGTAATGTTACTATAAGAGGAGAGCTTTTGTGAACCACATGTGTTAACTCCTCTGTTTCCATTACTTATTATTGTATGTTCTATGTAACTTTGAATATTGTCATCAGTTTCCACCAGTACTCAAATTTGAATACTGATACCAATTCAATTCATCAGATTCATGAACACCAAAGTTGATTTAATTGCATATACAAAGACATAAAGATGGAAACATAAGGAAGATAGAAGTAGGACACAGAAACAGAGAGCTAGAACTTATCAATCTCAACTCCATCTCTTAAAACCTCATAAGCATCACGGCTTCTGCTCTTCTTCATCCCTGCAGTAAAATGGATCTTTGAAGAGTCAGCAGAGATAGCTGTGACTTTAACCCATATCATCACTTTTGTTTTCATCCCTTCAACATCAGCTAGCTTTCCTTTCTCCAAAAACCCAGTAACCGTCGTGGTGAACCTCAAGACCGATGAGTCTTTGTACCCAACTTCGCAGATCGTTGGGATAAAGACGGTGAGTTTCCTCGTCTGTTCATTGAACTCGTAGTTTGTTGCGTCGCGTGGAAAGATCCCAACAGGTAAACCATACTCTTTTAGTAACTCGGGTAATGGCTTCTGCATTTTCCCTGATACATAAAAGGTTTAGAAGTCCAACAGTTACTGGAACTTGGATTTGTTGAGTAATGATGTTGACTGCTTCTTGAATGAGTAGAAACAAATAAAAATTAGCTAACCTTTGATTTTGTTCACAAGCCATTTTGTTCCTCCTTCGATGCTCGTAGACAAAGACTGGAAGAAAAAATGTTACTAATCATGCTTTGGAAAAACAAATGTTACTAATCATGTTAGTTTCAGTGTTCTAAAAATCTTAGGCGATGGTTAGGCGTTTTATAGAGGATTGTTGTTTAAGCAGACGCTTAGACGATTTTTCGAAACCCTAAGCCGATTTTCTGCAAAAAAATTGTTTCGTTCATATCCGATTTGCCGACTATGCGGACGTCTAAGCGCAGCCTAGATCGATTTTTAGAACACTGGTTAGTTTCACAAGAAAATGAGAATCACTATCATTAAACATGACACGGTCAAAGAAAGAGGATTATTATCAAATATAAAATTGAAAAATTTCTGTAATACTTATATCTACACTAAGATCTTACTCCGTCTACACAGAAATGCAGCTAATAATACCAAAACAGCCTCAAAATGAGAGAATTACCGTAAATTATTATACAATCATATGAATATGCTACTGATTTGCTATTGAAATGAGAATCATTATCATTAAACATGACACAGTCAAAGAAAGAGGATTATTATCAAATATAAAATTGAAACAGCTCTATAATACTTTTATCTACACTTAAGATCTTACTCCGTCTCCACAGAAATTCAACTAATAATACTAAAAACAGCCTCAAAATCGGAGAATTACAGTAAATTATTGTACAATCATATGAACATGCGCCTGATTTGCTATTAAAAAGCAGAGACTAAGCAAAATTGTGGTTCTAAGTGAAGAATCAACGAGCTACACTACCATTTACTAGCCTAAACCCTAAAGCGACATATATAAAAGTTCAAGAGGATCCAACATAACCGTAGATCGATCAAGAGAGACGTACGTTGATATCGTCACCGACAGAATCGAGCTGCTTGTTAGCCTTCTTCCCTAGCCAGTAAGATCCAACCTTGTTCAAGATCTGATCCATTCTCTCTCTCTCTCTCGCCGAGATCGGAGGGAGCTATTCTCTGTCCACCGATTCGTTTCTTTTACATCACTATAACGGCCAATTATGGTTTGACACGTAGCAATGTGAAATAATAGATGTGGATTGTGCAACTAAAACAATTATGAGCTTCATAAACTGTATGCTTAAAAGGTTTTGGACTGTTGGGAATCAAAGAGAATATGGGCCTGACCCAACTTCCAATAATGGGGTAACAAAATTATGACCAATAATAAAACTTTTAATTCATGGTATTTTGGTATTATTAATTACTCCCTTAGATTTAAAAAGGTCTTTTAAAAAAAAATTACACTTTAAAAATAATTAATGTATTTCATCATAAATGTAGAAAATGAACTAAATAATGTTCTGTGGATTTCAAGCAATATCAATTATAATTATTAACAATAAACATTTTGATATTTAAAATTGTTACTATTAATTAATAAATCAGATATTAAATTTCTTAATATTTTAGATTTTTATTTCAAAAAAAAATTTAATTTTTTTTATTTTACAGATATATATATCCTAAATATATCATAAAATTTAAATTTATATTGAAAAATTATTTTGTTATTACTATTTATGCCTATATAATTTTACTAATTCAAGTAAAGTAAAATGACAAAATTGGATATAAACAAAAATTTAAAATATAACATTTAGTGAAAAATGTCATTAAAGAATTTTTTTTATATAATTGGCTAGCAAATTTGAGATCAATAATAAGATTTTTTTATTTCATGATAGACTTTTGGTATTAGTAATCAATTTCTTAAATTTTCAAAGATATTTTAAAAATATAATTATAAGAATTAAAATAATTAATATCTAATCATATTGTAAAATAAACTAAGAATTTAATACACTATCAAATATAGTTATTTCCAATACATATTTTTGATATTTAAAATTTGTTACAACTAATTTAGTTAAATATGTATTAAACTGTTTTTTATATTTTAACTTCGTACAAAGCATTATTTCATAAAATATTATTTTTAGTATAACTTAGTGTCACTATAGTGTTTTTATCATTTACAAATTCACCAATTTAAATTAAGTAAAAAGGATAAAGCTGGATATAACATAAACTAAACTTATAAGATTTCGCGGAATATAAGACCGTTAAAAACAATTTTTTTCATAGCGGGCTAACAAAATTTATGATTACTAATAAGAGTTTTTATTTCATGATATTTTGGTATTAGTAATTATTCCCATAAATCTTTATAGATATATTTTTCAATATAACCACACATATTAGATCTAATCATATATGTAAAAATTAACTAAATCATTTCAGAAAATTCATTCAAAATTTTAATTCTCACACACATAGATTCATATTAAAAATTTATTTCACTATTGTTGTTTTTATCATCTATAGATTCACTAAATCAAATAAAGTGAAAAGAATAAAACCGGATATAACATAAACTTAACTTATAAGGTTTCGCGGGAGATAAAACCGTGGGAAATAAAACCGTTAAAGAAACATAACTAACAAAGCTACAACCAAAAAACACTAAAAGAGTTGGACTAATAAACATATTATACATACATACATACATACATACAACCAAGGTATCAATACACAGAAAACCAAAATACCATCACAACTGCTCCCATCTATATACTCTTCTATTAAATTAAAAGAGAGCAAAGGTTGTGAAGGACATGAACACCACCTGCTGGTTATATCCGGTTTAATAAAATTTAAAACGGAAACGAGAAGAGAGAGAGAGAGAGAAGTGGAAAGGTAACGCAAATTCATTTTGAAGACTTTCCCCTTTGTCTCTCTAAATCCCACTGTCTATCTCCACGCGCCTCCTCCGCTTCACCGTCTCTTTTCCGCCGTCTTCTCGATTCCTAGGGTTTCCCTCCACCGCTTGGGAGGTTATTTCGAGCTTGATTCTATGCTCTTGCGCCGTTGATTTGATCCGGCTTTCTAATTTTATCTCCGATTCTGAATCCGAAACGAACAATCTAGGGCTTAGGATTTGAATTTTCGGTGTTTTATTTCCGCGTGTGGTCTCCGATTTGGATGGCATTAGGAGACTTGATGGTATCTCGGTTCTCGCAATCCTCCGTTTCTTTGGCCTCTAATCACGACGACTGTGTCTCCACTCACGGTGACTCGCGGAGGAAAGATTCCGAGGCTACGAGTAGTGTCTACGGAAATGGCGTGGAGGAGGGAGACGCTACCGCCACCACCGCCACAAGTATGGCTTACTTGCCTCAGACTATCGTCCTCTGCCAAGTTAGACACAACGGCTCCGAGGCGTCTGCTTCCTTGGGGAACTCAGAGAGCATTGTGTTGGCTCCTAAATGGCGTATTAAAGAAAGAGTAAGATTAACTTCTTTGTAGAGTAAACTACATTATCTGCTAGGTTGTTTGGGTGATAATGTGTGTTTAGAAACTATTTAATTTCACAGTTTAAGGGGAAATGAGGTATTTAATTGCAATGCTGACTTTTATTCTTTGTGTGTTTGCAGATGAAAACAGGATGTGTAGCTTTAGTTGTGTGTTTGAACATTACTGTTGATCCGCCGGATGTTATTAAGATATCTCCGTGTGCTAGAGTCGAGGCTTGGATAGGTTTAACCTTCTGCAAACTCAACCCTATAACACTCTTTCTTTTGTTGCCATAATTGGATCTTTTGTTTTGATGACAGATCCATTTTCCATGCCCCCGCCAAAAGCTCTCGAAGCTATTGGGAAAAATCTGAGCACTCAGTATGAGAGATGGCAGCCAAGGGTGATTCTTTATTTCCCTGCAACTTTGTTGTTATGGTTTTGTCGTCAAGTTAAGTTTTTCATTTTTTTTTTTGTGGTGTTATCTCTCCCAGGCCCGATATAAGGTTCAGTTAGATCCGACGTATGATGATGTCAAGAAGCTCTGCTTGACTTGTCGGAAATATGCAAAGACTGAGAGAGTTCTATTCCATTATAATGGGCATGGTGTGCCAAAGCCTACAGCTAATGGTGAAATTTGGGTATTCAACAAGGTATTTTTTTTATAGCTTTTTCTTATGTCTATCATGATCTTTTTCCTTTTAGTCTGCTTCCACGTACTGATTGATCTCGTGTTTGAGCAGTATTATACACAGTACATTCCATTGTCAATCAGTGAGCTTGATTCCTGGTTGAAAACACCGTCAATCTACGTTTTTGACTGCTCTGCTGCTAGGATGATTCTTAATACCTTTGCGGAGGTAAAGGAAGTAATATTTTACTCATGTTACACGTTCGCCAGTCGAGTTTAAGACTTGGTTGCAATTAGCGCTCCATAATTTGATGAAAATTCATTTATTCCTCATGGCAGCTTCATGATTGGGGTTCTTCTGGTTCCTCTGGATCCTCAAGGGACTGCATTCTACTTGCTGCTTGTGATGTACATGAGACACTTCCTCAGAGCGTTGAATTTCCAGCTGATGTCTTTACTGCTTGCCTCACCACACCCATTAAAATGGCGTTGAAATGGTAAATCCTCTTTTCATCTCTCACTTTTTGGCGTACTCGGATGTCGGTTTTCTTCCTACAAAACGTTTTCCAGTAAACTACTATACAGAGTCTTAGTTAGCACACTCTTGGTTCATCAAGATGTAAGATCAAAACATCAGCTACGGAGGTTGTGCAGTTTCAGTTCTAGGCTCTTTTTAACTCTTTACTATTATATATATTACTACTTTATATTGAATGCGTTTTATTTATGTCCACGTGGAACTATGCAATTCAGTTTAGCTTGCAGCTTTCACTAGATGCTTTTCCTTACAGGTTCTGTAGGCGTTCTCTCTTGAAAGAATCCATCGAGGAATCACTTATCGACCTGATTCCAGGCCGCCAAAATGACCGTAAGACATTGTTAGGGGAGTTAAACTGGATTTTCACAGCAGTGACGGATACAATTGCATGGAATGTGCTTCCTCATGGTATTTCTCCATAATTTCTGCATAATGTATTAAGGCCAATCCTCTGTAACTTGACTTGTTTTTTTTTCAGTGTCCCTCATGAATTTTAGTTTTACCCTGCAGAACTTTTCCAGAGATTATTCAGACAGGATTTGTTGGTCGCTAGCCTTTTCCGAAATTTCTTACTTGCTGAGAGAATAATGCGGTCCGCAAATTGTAATCCAATATCTCACCCTATGCTGCCTCCGACGCATCAACATCATATGTGGTATCCTCGAAGAGCCAAATTCCTCTGTTAGATAAAGTGTTACGTGCCTAGATTTTTCCTCAGCTAGTTGTTGCTTTTCAGGGATGCATGGGACATGGCTGCCGAAATCTGCCTTTCTCGCCTTCCCCAACTTGTTCGGGACCCAAACTCAGAGTTCGAGGTTTGTTTTGCCTCGTGTTGTTTCCTTTTAATTGTTTAAGACGGAGCCTGTTAAAATAATACTTTCTTCTTTCTTTTTTCTAGCCAAGTCCTTTTTTTACCGAGCAACTAACAGCTTTTGAGGTGTGGCTTGATCATGGATCTGAGCATAAGAAGCCACCAGAGCAGTTGCCTATTGTTCTTCAGGTGCAACCTAAATTTCTGTATTATTTTCCTTTTTTGTTGTGTGTGTGAGAGAGAGATAGAGAGCATATTCATTTCTCATTTTTCGCACAGTTTTGTGTGGATTTGACTTCCTGGCTTCCTTCTGGACGTTCCATTATTATTTTGTTGATTACTACCATAGCGTATTTATAGACTCTGATTTAATTCAGGTGTTACTTAGCCAATGTCATCGGTATCGTGCTCTTGTACTTCTTGGAAGATTTCTTGATATGGGTTCATGGGCCGTGGATCTGGTATACTTCTAGATTTGAACTCTCTTTCCCTTTGCTTACAAAGAATATTTTCTGGTTGTCCTTACACGTGAAGTGAAAATTCCTCTAGGCTTTGTCTGTTGGAATATTCCCATATGTGCTGAAGCTTCTGCAAACAACAACAAATGAGCTACGACAGATACTTGTTTTCATATGGACAAAAATTCTTTCACTTGATAAGGTAAATTTTTTTGCGTTCAATGAGCTATTAATGCTAGCTTGTAGCTTGTCATGCATCTGCGTTTTTTACATATTAATGCTAGTTTCTATTCTGGTATCTTCTTAGTTCTTACTGTGTATCTTCTAGAGTGACTTTACTGAAAAAGACATTAAGTTTTTCATATAGTTATTCTGAGACGAATGCTGAATGACATCAGATTAAGTTGTTTATCTCTGGCCATCACACTTCCGTGTTGCTTAAGCTTTTCGTCTTTGGATTATTCCAACATTGACTGGTCTGTATTTGTCTACAGACATGTCAAATTGATCTTGTGAAGGATGGGGGGCATACATATTTCATAAGATTTCTAGATAGCTCGGATGCATTTCCCGACCAACGAGCTATGGCTGCTTTTGTTTTATCTGTCATTGTGGACGGACACCGACGAGGCCAGGAAGCATGTCTTGAAGCTAATTTAATTGGTGTTTGTCTGGGGCACCTTGAACTATTCGGACCAAGTGAATCACAGCAAGAAAAGTTTCTACAATGGCTTTGTCTTTGTCTTGGAAAGTTGTGGGAAGATTTTATGGAGGCCCAAATAATGGGTAGGGAGGCAAATGCGTTTCAGAAGTTGGCACCTCTGCTTTCCGAGCCCCAACCTGAGGTGAAGCTTAAATTTCTGTATATTATGCTTCTATTAGCAGTGTAATTTCTGACCATAACTTTCTCTTACAGGTAAGGGCTGCTGCTGTTTTTGCTCTGGGTACCTTACTTGATATTGGGTTTGGCTCTAGTAAAAGTTCTTTGGAGGATGAATTTGATGATGATGAAAAGATTAGAGCAGAAGAAGCTATCATTAAAAGTCTCTTAGATGTAGTTTCAGATGGGAGTCCACTTGTCCGGTCAGAGGTTGCTGTAGGTACGCACTGCGTGCAACTCTTTAACATCATGATCGTGGGATTGTGGGTTCGTAATTAGCGGTAGTCACGTAACTTCTGAAAGAAAAAAATAATCTAACCTGATGTGAATATTTTAATTAAGAACATCTCCTACATTTTATTTATTGATTTTCATTTACTGAATTTGATAATTCACATAGTCAACCAAGTTTATCTGTTGCCTTTAGTTGGAGCGATTGATAATTTATTAGTCGATACAACCATTTAATGATATTGTCACTCGTTCAGAGAGTTCATCTATAGTTTTGTGCATTGTCAAATGTCTGTCTTTGTTTAGTGTGCATATACATCTGAAGCTTAGCTTGCCTACTTTGAATCTTTTTCCTATTTGATCCTGAAGCCTCTGTTGTTAACGTCTCTACAGCTCTTGCACGTTTTGCCTTTGGCCACAAAAAGCACCTTAAGTTAGCCGCAGCTTCATATTGGAAGCCTCAGTCAAGCTCTCTGCTTACTTCGCTCCCTTCAATCGCTAAATTGCATGAAGCTGGGAGTGCAACAATCGTTTCTTTACACATGAGTCCTCTGACTAGAGCTAGCACTGAAAGCCAACCAGTTGCTCGTGAGGCGAGGATCTCAAGCAGCCCTCTTGGCTCGGCTGGGCTAATGCATGGATCTCCATTATCTGATGATGGAATCATGCATGAAAGTGTCAGCAATGGAGCTGTCCATCAGCAAAGACTGTTTGATAACGCCGTTTATTCGCAGTGCGTTCGATCTATGTTTGCATTAGCTAAAGACCCATCTCCACGAATTGCAAGTCTCGGGCGGCGTGTGCTTTCTATCATTGGTATCGAGCAAGTTGTTGCGAAATCCTCGAAGCCCACTGGCCGATTAGGAGAAGCTGCGACAACATCTAACACTCCTCTTGCTGGCCTATCTCGCTCATCCTCATGGTTTGATATGCATGCAGGTAGCTGTTTATGGAGTGTTTCATGATCATGAACTTTTAGAAGTTTTGCTTAAATTCAGAAGGCTGTCTGTTTGTGAGTTTTGATCTTCCAATGTTGTTGCAACAGGTAATATGCCCTTAAGTTTTAGGACTCCTCCGGTCAGCCCTCCCAGAACAAACTATCTACCTGGACTGAGGAGAGTTTGTTCGTTAGATTTTAGGCCCCACCTGTTGGGTTCACCAGACTCGGGATTGGCTGATACGTTTTTAGGCAGTGGATCTGAACGGAGTTTGCTCCCATTATCAACTATCTACAACTGGAGCTGTGGCTACTTTTCTAAACCGCTTCTCTCTGAAGCTGATGCTAGTCAAGAGATAGATACCAAAAGAGAAGAGAAAGAAAGGTTCGCACTTGAGCATATTGCAAAATGCCAGCACTCTTGTAAGCACTGTTTCTCTTTTATCTCTGTTTTTTTCTGTGCCTATACTAGTCACTTGAACTGACAACATTTTAACTTGACCAGCTATTAGCAAGCTCAACAATAATCCTATTGCCAACTGGAATACGAGGTTTGAAACGGGAACAAAGACAGCTCTCCTTCACCCTTTCTCTCCTATTTTAGTTGCTGCAGACGAGAATGAACGGATCAGGTATGCAAGTTTCTTCAGAGCATAGCTAAAGTTTGTCGGATTAGATCTGTGTCTAGTATATCATTAGTTTGAAACTGTTCTTAAAACTTGATCGTCTCTCTTTTTTGACATTTTTTAAATCGAGATGCTTCTACTGCACTAAGTATTATACTGTATTATCCTCTCAGAGTCTGGAACTATGAGGACACAACTCTTCTCAATGGCTTTGACAATCATGATTTTCCTGACAAAGGAATTTCAAAGCTCTGCCTCGTCAATGAACTTGACGACTCTCTGCTACTTGTTGCGTCATGTAATATTCATAGCTCTTTCCATTGTTTGCAAATCGATTGATTGTAGCTGCTGAACTGGTATTTATGTCTTACACGATCTTTTGGAATTCTGGTTAGGTGATGGGTCTGTCCGGATATGGAAAAACTATGCAACAAAGGGTAAACAAAAGCTTGTTACAGGTTTTTCTTCAATCCAGGGTCACAAGCCCGGTGCACGTGACTTGAACGCTGTCGTAGACTGGCAACAACAATCCGGCCGCCTGGTTTGTGATTTTGCTTATTCCTTTTGTTTTCCAAGTTACGAAGTCTTTTTATTGTTATTTATTGATTACTCGTATTCAACAGTATGCTTCCGGGGAGGTGTCAACAGTCGCGCTTTGGGACCTTGATAAAGAACAGCTAGTCAGATCTATTCCCTCTGAGTCAGAATGCAGAGTTACAGCACTTGTAAGTCGATATTATAGCCTTCTTTTTTATAACATAGAAGCGCGTTAAAGTATCAGGATATAATATGATCAATTAAACGCTTTAGAATGTCCTGATTTGTAGTCGGCTTCTCAAGTGCACGGGAGTCAACTTGTTGCTGGTTTCGCTGATGGATCTTTGAGACTCTATGATGTTAGGTCGCCTGAACCGTAAGTTACTCACACCAGTTATAACGAAAATGAGAACACCGAACTTGGTTGTATACATCACTTAATATCATTTTTCATATTGCAGGCTTGTCCTTGCGGCTCGGCCTCATCCGAAAGTTGAAAGAGTGGTTGGACTTAGTTTTCAGCCTGGACTTGATCCCTCAAAGGTTGTAAGCTAAAACTTATCTCTAGATTGTCAGGTTTCATACCTTTTTAGTAGTCGGTAGGCCTGTGCAATTTGTTCATTGAGTCTGTTTGTTTTTTGAAGATTCGGTTCTGGTTTTACTTGTTTGGTGAAGTGTTGTTACAGTTTCTCAAATCTTTGTCGCTTTCCCGAGGTTAATAACTGTTCCTCTTTTTGTTTCAGGTTGTGAGTGCATCACAGGCCGGTGACATACAGTTCCTTGACTTTAGAACATCAAGGGACACATACCTGACGATTGATGCACACAGGGGTTCACTCACGGCCTTAGCTGTTCACAGACACGCTCCAGTAATCGCGAGTGGATCTGCAAAACATCTACTTAAAGTGTTTAGCCTTGAGGGAGAACAACTAGGAAAAATCCTCTACTACCCATCCTTCATGCCACAGAAGATTGGTTCAGTGAGTTGCCTCGCTTTTCATCCCTACCAGCTTCTTCTTGCAGCTGGAACTGTGGACTCACTCGTCTCCCTATACACCCACGATGACTCGCAAGCACGATGATGAGTCGCACACCGTAAGTGAAAACGTTTCTCTTGTTATTAAAACATAAGAAGAAAAAAAAAAAAAAAGTCCAGGCCGTGTCCGGGTAAAGTGGGTGTGGTTATAGTTAATATTCGTTAGCCTCCGAGGAAGTGTTAGAGAGAAGATCTAAGTTATAACAACTAATGAAGGAGGAGGCTTCACCTAATAAGTTTCTATCCGATGCACATAAATTGTGTCTGTAAATAAGTAGTTTCCCTGCGTTGCTTTTCCTTTATAATCATGTTTCCTTGTGTGGTTTCATTAATCTTATTAAGTATTTCTATTTCCCAATTGTTTTCATGTGTAAAAAAGAATGGTAAAAGTAATGGTGGAAAAAAGTTTGCATTTTGGTGCTATTATTACAAAGGATAGTACATTAAAAAGCTGTGTTGTTTTGTTCTACATTCTCCAGTTGACCACTTTATTTTATTTTTAAGTAATAAAATTTGGTTCTCCTTCAATGCTATTTTATTTTTGAGTAAAAATAGTGATAAAAAATAAAAGTAAAGATTTCTAATGCTGCTTGGGATGAAGTTTCACCCTCCCATGACACTGTCATTTGTAATACTGATGCTGCTTGGAATGAAGTTACACGAAACTGTGGCATTGGATGTGTCTTCTCAGGCTGGAACTTGATACCATCCCTTAACACTATTAGCGACTCACGTTGCTCTGTATAGCTTAAGTTCTCGCCATCCGTTCAGCGGTTATGTATGATGCTGCGTCAAATGTGAAAACTCTTATGATCCGGTCCGACTCTCTTTCTCTCATTAAGTTGTTGAAGGAAGGTAATTCAACCCTGGCTTTGTTTAGTATTCTATTTGATATTTATTATTTTAGCTCTACTTTCAAAATATTTAGATAAATTAAAAAATTCGAATAATATATACAACAATGAAGATAAACTTATCTTTACAAGCTTTAATATTACATATCAGTTATCCATCGATTCAATCGATTAGTCTCGAGTTTTAGTGATTTTTTAAATATGAATATTTTTAAAAATAAAAATTAAATTATCAGATCATCGGTTTGGACTGAATTTAAAATAATTATTTAAATACATAAATTCTTCCAAAATACCAAAATATTTGTTAAGTTATTTATGAAACTTTTCATCATAAAATATTCAGTGCTTGCAAAGTTGAGACCAAAGTTAAGTTTGAATTTGACATAATCTATAAAATAAAGGTTAAGACCAAATATTCTAGAAATTTGTATATTATTTTAAAAACTTTTGATAATTATTAACATCAGAATCAGAAGTAACTAAACTCTCAACTTATGTTTTAATGCAAACAGATAAGTATGAATTTGATTTTGCACTTCGAACAAACGTAGTGAATTAGTACTTTCACTACACGGTTACATCTACATAATATACTGATTGATATTGTTCTTTAAACATAAAATCGAATTGGACAAACACGAAACTATATAAAACTAAATTATATAGAATACATCCGAAAAAGTAAATTTGCGCGGATGCGTGGGTCATGATCTAGTTTTTACGGTAAATGGACATCATTTCTAATTTTCCAATAATGAATTTATTTAAACTTCATATAATACCTAATAAGTAGATTAACCCCTATAAAAATTTTATTTAATGTAGAAACGGGAACACCAAATGTCTCAAAACTCTTTATTTTTTATACGATGTTCGTGTATGATGCAACATTTATTAAAACAAAATTATCATATTTTCTAATTTATTTTGAAATATGTGAATTAATGTTAAAGTTAGTTATTTTAACGAATAGTCATAACTTTAAAATTATTGGTATTGAAGAGTCAAAATATTTCAAGTTAAAGTTATTTGTATGAATAGTCACATCTTTTAAACTAAAGATAAAGAATAGTCACAATTTTTCAATTAAAATTAATTATTTTATGAATAGTCACAACTATCTAACTATACATAATTATTTTAAATGATATATTTACATTATATATTTGAATAGACGCATCATTTCAAAAAAAACACTGTTATTATATAAAATTAACTATTTTTAAAAGTAACTAAAATTTAAATAGACGTATTATTTCAAAAATACAGTTTCATTTTAAGTATTTTTAAAAGGGAAAAACGTCATTTAAATCCTCAACTTACCAAAATAAGCTAAATAAAACCTTAACTTTCATGAACACTCATTCTGTTGAGCATCATACTCAAGTTTTTTTTTTTTTTGCTAAAAGATCATACGCAAGTTAAGCTCAAGAAACGTGACTCTGGCACAAAGTATCTAGCTACGGTCTTAGCCACTGGAACTAACGGTGACATTGGTAAGTTTATTGTTGCTTTTTCTAGTTTGTGTTGCAAAGGAACAGTTTCTTGATTGTTTTTCTTTTGGATTAATTATCGCGACGTTGTTGACAGTTACTGATGATGGGTTTTGTTATTAGTTGAGAAGTTGTTTGTTTTAGCACCACTTCCTTCTCCCTCATCTATGTTGACACCCTCATCCTCACGGTCTCTCACAGTCTCATATGCGGTGAGTTGCTCAACCTCACGACCTTCGCCTGCATCATGACTTTCTTCGTGTCCCTGTTCAATTGTTTCGCTTGAAGCACCCTTCTTCGACGTCTATAAACAAGCTTCATTGGCCGCTCCATCATCAATTTTCTTCAAATAGTCAAGATTTTAGGGATTTAATCATTTAAGTGTATGATATTGAGAATTAAAGATTTCAAATCGATTAAGAAGAAGGGAAGACCACGAGTTTGTTGTTTTAATGATAGAGCTGAACGCTTCGTTTCATCACTTAACGGAAGTTTTAAAAAAAAATTAACAGTTGACCTTGGGATGTTTAAAAAGGCCAAGTCAACATAAGTTTATGATTATTTTGGAAAAAAAATTAAAAGTTTGAAACTTATTTAGCTTACATGAAAGTTAAGATTTTATTTAGCTTATTTTGGTAAGTTGAGGATTTAAATGGCGTTTTTCCCATTTTTAAAATGTAATTTTTCTTTGCAGTAGAAAGATATAAATTTTCACTTACATGAAATTCATAAACTTTGATATTAATTGAGATAGCTATTATTAATAGAATAAATAATGTTAAAAAAAAATCTTGAAGAACTGTCCGTTTGAAGACTGATATAAATTGGCGGGAGATAAAAGAAAAAAAAAACATTCAAGGGTTTAAGAATTGGCAATGAGCATCGCCACCGTCTCATCACCATCCAAACTTCATCAAATCAAAACCCTAATCCCCCTCGCATCCACCGCCAACCACTTAAAACAGATCCACGCATCTCTCATCCACCACGGCCATCACCATGACACTTACCTCGTTAACCTCCTCCTCAAGCGAACTCTCTCTTTCCGCGAAAACAATTACTCTTCCCTCCTCTTCTCCCACACTCAATTCCCAAACATCTTCCTCTACAACACTCTCGTCAACGGCTTCGTCAACAACAACCTCTTCCGCGAGACGCTCGACCTCTTCATCTCCGTCCGTAAACACGGTCTCTCCTTATACGGATTCACTTTCCCTTTCGTCCTCAAGGCGTGTACTAGATCGAAGAATCTTAACCTAGGGATTGAGCTTCATTCTTTAGTAGTTAAATGTGGGTTTAATCTTGATGTTGGCGCTATGACGAGTTTGTTGTCTTTGTATTCGGGTTTCGGGCGTGTCGATGATGCACGTAAGGTGTTCGATGAAATGCCTGAGAGAACGATTGTTTCGTGGACGGCTTTTTTTAGTGGGTGTATTGCTTCTGGGAAGTATAGTGATGCTATTGGTTTGTTTAAGAAGATGGTGGGGCTTGGTGTGAGGCCGGATAGTTACTCCGTTGTTCGGGTTTTATCTGCTTGTGTTCAGGTTGGGGATCTCGATAGCGCGGAGTGGATTGCTAATCTAGTTGAAGAGATTGAGATGCAGAAGAATTCATATGTGAATACCACATTGGTTAATTTATACGCGAAGCGCGGGAAGATGGAGAAAGCACGTTGTGTATTTGATTCGATGGTGGAGAAAGATATAGTTACTTGGAGTACTATGATACAAGGTTATGCTTCGAATAGTCTCCCGAAGGAAGGTGTTGAGTTGTTTCACCAGATGTTGAAGGAGAATCTGAAACCGGATCAGTATTCGATTGTTGGGTTTCTTTCTTCTTGTGCAAGCTTAGGAGCGCTTGATTTAGGGGAATGGGGAAGTGGTTTGATAGATAGGGATGAGTTCTTGAACAATCTTGTTATGGGCAATGCGTTGATCGACATGTATGCGAAATGTGGGGATGTGGCTAGGGGTTTTCAGGTGTTTAAAGATATGAAGGAGAAGGATAGAGTTATAATGAACACTGTGATTACTGGACTGGCCAAGAATGGTCATGTCAAGCTTTCCTTTGCGGTTTTTGGACAGACAGAGAAGTTAGGTATCTCACCTGATGGGTACACATTCCTTGGACTTCTATGCGGGTGTGTTCACGCAGGGCTAGTCCAAGACGGGCTTAGGTTTTTCAACTCCATAAGCTCTGTTTACTCGTTGAAACGCACGGTTGAGCATTATGGTTGCATGGTAGATCTTTGGGGCAGAGCAGGACAGTTAGGTGACGCGTACCGGTTGATCTGCAATATGCCAATGAAGCCAAACGCGATCATCTGGGGAGCGTTGCTAACCGGATGTAGACTGGTTAAAGAAACTCGGTTAGCAGAACGTGTTCTGAAAGAACTCATCGCTCTGGAGCCGTGGAATGCAGGCAACTACGTTCAGTTATCAAACATATACTCGGTTAATGGGAGATGGGACGAAGCGGCTGAAGTGAGAGCGGAGATGAACAAGAAAGGTATGAAGAAGCTTCCTGGATGGAGTTGGATCGAATTGGAAGGGAAGGTGCACGAGTTTTTGGCTGATGATAAATCTCATCCTCTGAGTGAAAAGATATATGCAAAGCTTGAAGATTTGGGTAATGAAATGAGGCTTATGGGTTTTGTTCCGACAACAGAGTGTGTTATGTTCGACGTTGAAGAGGAAGAAAAGGAGACGGTGTTGGGGTATCACAGCGAGAAGCTTGCTGTTGCGTTGGGGTTGATCAGTACGGGTGATGGCGAAGTGATTCGAGTGGTGAAAAATCTGAGAGTGTGTGGAGACTGTCATCAAGCGATGAAGTTGATATCGAAGATCACGAGAAGAGAGATTGTTGTTAGAGATAATAATAGGTTTCATTGTTTTACAAACGGGTCTTGTTCTTGTAATGACTACTGGTGAGCTCACTTATGTTGAGACAAAAATAGTATTATTTTTGCTTTTCTCGTTTAGTTTTGGAACTTACACATTTTAGAAGGAGAGAGAAGATTACTAGAGAGCTTTAGTTCTTGAAACAAAGGAGAAGTGAACTTCTCTTTGCTTACACAGATAGACCAGTGGATGCTTCGGACCATAACGATGTTTCCCGGAACAAACGTCTTCGAATAAACACTCTACGCCTATTGAGACTCGCAATGTGAACACAACAGCCCTTGGGGTCTTGCAAGTTACTGCAGTAAACATGAACCTCTTCTCTCTTTCATCTCCACTGTAGAGGTTTGGGTCTATGTACACAAACTGGCAAGTGTCATCGCTTCTGGATATTCTCAGCCACAAACGGGCATCCCTTGGCACATTGAGTAGCTTGATCTCGCATGGTATAGCCACGGGTAGTCCAGCCACAAAGGAAATTGGATGGTAAGGACCATTACCAGGAACCTCGAGCTCTGCACTGACACACTTCAGATTAGTAGAGAGTGTAAACTGTTCTGGGGAGAAGCAATTGAATTTCTTGATGAGATCAAGCAGTCTACAGCAACTTATATCAGCAGAGCTCCCAATCTCTTGCAGTGACTTTGTAGTTTCGGTTAGAAAATCTGATGGCTTGGTGCATTGTTGTTCATGGTGGAGCTCTAATTGAGATACTGTTGAAGATAGCTTCTTCTTGCAGCTAAGCCGGTAGCATATCTCAAATTTATAAAGCCTTAACAAGCAGCTTAAAATTACTAGCTCCATTACAAGTGACAACTCCGTAGACAGACCTGTGAATCTACACCTTATCTCCATCAGGTTTAAATCTAGCTCTTCCATCAGCAGTTCCACTTCTACAGATCTACATGTGCTGGTGTGTCTTGAGTATTCGAAGTGAGGCCATACCTGAGTAAGAATTTCGATTAGGTGAACGTACTGACACATAAATTCTAGTGCACCATTGGAGACTGAGGAATTGGCTGTCAAAGTTGCTAACTCCTGTTTGCAAGCCCTGGACAAGAAGTCAAGAAACACGTTAGTTAGAATACACATGAAACAGTAACATAGACGCTGGAAACTGATGGATTGCAAGCTGTACAACCTTAACGCTCGGAATGCTTCGTTAGAGCATTCTGATTTTAGTAATAACCAGGCAGCCTTCACTCTCAACTGTATATGGCAAACAGAATTCAGTGCTGGATCTCTAATTTCCAATTCTGCTACGGAAGCCATGGGTTTGCTCTCAGCAGGTATATTCCTTGGTAGTAGGACGGGGTCTTCGCTATGATCTGAAGTACTGCGCCTATATGCATTTAAAAACATATCTGCTTTATTGAATTCTGTACCCGAAGAAGCAGAGAGAGTAATGCAATGAGCCAAGTAAGCCAAAAGAGTATCCTGATCCATCATATCATGGAGTCCACAAGAGAATTTTCCCAGCATTGCAAGCGAATATGAAAAAGCCAAAGGCGGTATGGAAGTGACGCTTTGTTTGTTCGAGAGAGGAGCTGAGATTATGACCATCAGAAAGGCAGATACCTGTCGGCTGATGAAGTCACATCTATTCCCGGAATCTGTCTCTAACTGAAGAGCATGACAGAGTAAGCAAAGAAATGATTAGTATGCCATAGTATGCATAAAGAACAAGTCCAAAAGAGTGATTAAAAATGCTCGCTTACCTTTTCATTAAATCGCTTGATTATACTGACTAAGGAATTTGTATGGTTTTGTCCGAATTGGAACAGAGTAGACAAGATATTTGGTTCGTCCTAGAATGAGAGAGCAAGAAAATGAGGTTAAATATAAGAAAAGTGAAGGATTTATGGAATAAGAAGCTAACTGGTCTTAGGTAAGTATGCCAACCTGTGGATACATCTCTAAACTTTTTAGGACACCGTCAACACATTTGTTGACCAGCTTCAGATCAGGCAGCTTTGCCAATTTGAGAATGTTTCTAGCCGTAAGTCTTATGTTCTCAGAAGTATCAATAATAGCATCCAAAAACTGCATAGTCAAGTAGCATCTCTTTATCGAAACTCATAGCAATGAAAAAGGTGACAATACACGGAGGCAGCCATGTTAGCTTAGTACAAATCATTTAAGACAATACACGATTCTTATGAAGTATTGCATCTGCATTCTCATTAGCTTATACCACCAGCTCTATAGAAAAAAACGAGACAAAAGGATACGGTGACTTACGGCGGGCAGATAAGTTTCCTGTATCTTCAAGTTCCTCACGTCTGCTATATGATGCAATGCCTCTAAAGCTTTCAACCTGACAACCATATAATCATCGTATAGCATATCCATCAATAGGCAGACAGCTTCATCTGGGAATTCGATAGAATTTACTGAAAGGGAGTGGAAAGAGTCAACCGCAGCTTCCCGTACCTTCACAATAACGCATACAAATGCGGTATATGTAAGTCCACAAACAACTAAAACTTTTTTATATAAAACCTACTTTAACAGGTTTGCATATTATCATAAGTGTACCTCGTAGAATTCGTCTTCAAAACCATGGATGAAAACTCCAGCTGCAGCAGCGGCATCAACAAACTCATTCGAAAGATGATCCTGCGGTTTCTTCCCTTTCCCAGCTTTCAATACTTTTTTCGAAAGTGTTTGCAGTATAATGCTTTCTGATGCAGTTCCTATTACCCCAAAGGCCTTGAAGACCTCAACCCTCACGTCTACACTCATATCTCTCACAACAGAACAAAGCTGAAACCACGTTTACACTAAAACATCAGCCATTTGGTTATTATAGTTCCTCAAGATCACTAAGAAAACAATCTAATAAACACTTCCCCACATAAACTGGCTACTCAATTTCTCCGTAGCAAAAAAAAAAAAAAATCAAAGCTTCAGCCTTTATGCTAAATCAATTTGTAGCTAGTACTTCCAAACTCAAAAAAAAACTTCAAAATGCTACAACAAACCAGAGAGAAGCTAGTTACCTGAAGAAACACAGCATCAGAACACTCTCTTCTGTTACTCTCTTCCTTAGATGCTATCAACACTTTACCCCACACACTAACCTGAAACATTCAGAAACTTATTATTATTATTATTATCGGATATTCCATCTTACAACAATTCTTTAAAACGCTATTTATTTAATCAAAACAAATACTAACGGCACGAACTGCAGAAGCTCTGACGCTATCTTCAGCATCCCCCAAAAGCTCAACAGCACGTGCATAACAACCTTTTACAGCACTCACATGATCAAAACCGCCACTCTCACATACACAAACCAATCCATCAATCGCCACTTTCCTCACAAACGGATACGGATCCTTCGTGAACCCGAAACACAACGTGAAAACCACCGACGACGGCACATTAAACCTCTCCGCGTTCCTAATCATCCACATCCGAGAAGCCACATCCGCTCCGATGCAAATCGACGCGAACACCTCCCCGTCGATTCTCGAAAACGCGGCGACGTTAGGGTTTCGTTCGGATATCGACGCGAGAACGGCGAGCGATTCCCCCGCGACGCGGATACCATCGGAGGAGGTGGAGGTTTGGAGGAAGTTGGAGAGGATTGAATCGAAGATTTGTGGTGAGAGTTCGTTTCTTGAGAGGGAGAGGTCGGAGAGGAGCTTGAGGACGTGGTGGAGGATCGTTGAGTTGTTTTGGCTGAGAAGACGAGTGAGGAAGTCGAATATAGAGGAGATTACGGGGAGGGGAGTGTGGGCGTTGATGATTATTGATCTGATTGAAGATAGAGTGTGGAGAGTTAGTGAAACCGAGTCGTCTTCCTCCATTGATGGAGAGGAAGACGAAATCTCAAAACCTCGACGGAGGTTTTATGTAAATAATATTACTCACTTTGCGACAAAAAGTCAACAGTAGAAATTTATCATTTATAAAGTCAACAGTGAAAATTTGAAATTGTAAAAAGTAAGAGGGGGGCAAATAAACCAAACCGAAATCTGAACCAAATCTGATTCAATAAAAATCAGAATTCAACATAAAGACTGAATAAATCTTGTTTTACGATATATTAGCTTATGTGATGCGTTCCGGTCCGAGCATCGACCTATTTGGATCATAGAATCTGTCCAAGGAGAAAATTTTGTCAACCGATTCGATTTAACCGAGGTTTCCCCATCAGATGACGCAACCATGGATGAGCTGAATGAGCTGAGTGAGCTAAGTGACACTAGCTTGGAGCTGGATAAGCTAAGTGGCATTAAAGATGGAGCTAGTTTAGTTGCTAGGCGAAATAGACGTTTTTCAGCCCATGAAAAAATTCATAACAAATTCAATTTGGGTCCAATTTACACCAAATTCGACTAGACTTTTGCTGATGGTCTTCTGCCCATTTGTATCAAAAAATATCAAGAAAAGGAGTTAAATTTGTGGTCATGTTAAGGGGCATTCAACAACACACTTATTTCTAGTCAAAAGTCTTAGTATTTGTTTATGTTTCTAGTTTTCTACCAAAACTATTCATTTCTTTTGACCGCATGTATTATAAATATGTAAAATCTTCTATGAATAAAATCATTCTATGTTTTTGAGTTTAATTTTGTTCTTCTCTGAGTGAGAGAGAGAATTCTTTAGATAGTTCATTGGTGAGAACTGTCTTGTTGATTTGGTGGTCAGTCATTTCATCTTTGTATGTTGTTTGGTGGTTAGCCAACACATTCATCTTTTCTTTGGCGGTTAACCTTAGATCTTGGGTATATCAAGAGCCATTCCACATCTCTTGACGATCCTTTCAATCCATCTCAGTTCCAGAAGTGTCATTTGCCTTCTCGGTTCATATCCAACACCCAACTAAAGTGATCCTTTGATTTAGGAGTTTTATTATGGATTTTACCCGAACCGAACATGAACTTAAATGGATATTCAAAAGAAAAACTTCAAATTTACAATTAGTACCAAATTTTCAACTTGAATCTTCACTCTTCAAACTTCAAACTTTAAACCTCAAAACTTAAATGGAAACTGAATATGTTTGAATCGTTAGTTGTTCACTGTATTTTATATTTTTAGTATGAATGATTTTCGTCCATACAAAACTTTGGTTTATCATGAATCATGATAGATTTAGTATTATCATATTGTTCAATAACAAATCTCAACGAGTTTAATAAAATTATTTAGAAGGACAATAATATGGTTGGGAGAAGCTGAATACATAAATTTATTAAAATAATTAAAAATACATTAAATTTAATCAAGTATAAGTTAGTAATTTTAGAAGTGATAATACGATTAGATACTAATCGAAATTATTTTAGATTCAACCGGATTTTGGACAATGTTTCTAAACTTGAACTGAACCCATTCCACCAGATTTTTATAATATCCAAATGCTGAAATTCATGAACCTAAATATACAAAACTAAAATGAATCCAAACCGAAATCCGATTGGAATCCCGAATACCGATCTCTAGCTAAAAAGGTAAAGACATGTGGGCAGAAGCTCCTATTAATTTTTCTAAACTAAATGGGCTTAGGTTGAATAACGGGCCTCGAATATGGAATGTATGCCGTTATTTCCTATAGTAAACCACACGCTAACCATTCGTTGAAACACAACACACGACGACGTTGTATTAGGTAAATCTAAACACCATTAAGTTCCGACACAAAACTGACTTCACATCGGTTCCATCCTCTCTGTTCTGTCTCGTCGCCATGGAAGATCTCTCTCTCGAAAAAATCGAGATTCAAGGTCCAACACTAGCTTCCCTCATCCAACGAGCATCCTCCTCTCCCTGCGACGTCGACGGCTTACTCTTCGGCCAAATCCACCGCATCGTCTCCACAACCTTATCCGACGACTCTCCGGCCACAAGCTCCTCCTCAACTGATCAAATCGTCGCAACCGTCACAAGCTTCATCTCCTCAGGCAAAACCGTCTCCTTCTACGACCCCCTCGGCCGAGTCGACTCGCTCCGAGTTGACTCACTCCGAGTCAACTCGCCAGACCACCTCCTCGGCTGGTTCTCCGCCAGGAGAACCAGCCCTAACCGTCCCTCCATGCGAGAGCTCACCGTCTCGTCCTCTCTCTCGTCTCGATTTCAATTACCGATCGAAAACTCGGTAAACCCTAACTCAGCGTCTTCCTCTGTTTTCATCCTTCTGACAACACCGTTGACGGATCAGTTAATCCACACGCACGAGTACCGTGCCTACCAGTTCAAACCATTGAACCGACGGTTAGAACCGAGGTCTCTCGGGATAGTTAACATCGGACCGGCGTTTCGTGGGCATTACGGTTCGTTTAATCCGAAATCGGGGTTTCCTGAGTTGTTATGTGAGGTTAGTAGTGGTAGCTCGGCGATGAATGAGGATAGGGATGATGAAGGTTCGTCTTTGAGTGGGAAGAAGCAAGCGGTGAAGGATCAGAAGGAAGTTGATGCGTTAGCTGATGGGTTTCAAGTTGGGAGCTTGAAGCGTTTGGTGGGAGTTGAAGCTGCGAGTTTTACGGGTGGGATTGAGGAGATGTATGAGAGGATGTTGGCGAAAGTTGAGAGCTTGGCTTCTGAGGTTGAGAAGAGTTCTGCTAAAGTGCTTGAACTGGTACAATAATTCGATTTTTTGTATTGTTTAAGTTGCTGTAAGATTGTCTGAAAGTCACCCATTGGTACCAATGTAACATCTTGTTTGGTTTGTTTCAGGATAATCATAATCGGAAGTTGAGATACCGAGTTGCTAGAATCGAGCGGTGAAGTTTTTTTCTTGGGTTCTTGTTTTTCTTTGGCGCAAGGTATTATTAGTTTCTTTCTCCTCCTGTGTTCAGTTAACTTAGCTGAGAACACTTGTTAACGCAATAGAAATAGATGTAGACAATTATCGTAAGTTGTAGCTGTTTACTAGTTTTTAAGTCTTTACTGGTTAGATTTATTTATCACAGTTTCAAGAAGGGGATTACTCCATATCAGTGTTTCCATAAATCGGTATATATGTTGAGGAAGTCAATACTAGCTAAATAGATGCATACTGAAGATTCATATAGAGATCAGAGTAATAACGATTGATAAGAACAAGGAAACAGTTGTAAGAATAGGAGCTAGAGATAGTTTTGGTGACTCTGATCACAGTTTATCTCTATTACTGTGTAGATCTTTTTTGAAGAGCCAGAATTGTCAAAAAGTATGGAACTGTCCTTTAAAGGACATGATTTGTATCATTTTATGAGGCGTAATCAAGAACATGGAAGATGATGGCTTGAGCTTAACTTTCTCAAGTTCTCTGCTGTGCCGTCCTTGTTCACAGGGTATGTATTTTGGTGTATCTATAAAGTTTTTGTTGCTTTTTTCCTATTCAGAGAGTTTCTTTGATGCCTTTTACAACTCTTCAATTACTTCTGCACTGGAAATGAAATGGCTTTGTGCTTATAATTTAAACTATCCAAAGTAATTTTTGATTAGTTTACACTACCGTAGTAGTAATAGGACCATGCCAAAAAGCTCAATTAAGAATTTGGGACCACTACGTAAGCTATGGAGTTTATATACTGTTTCTGGAACCAAACAAAACGGTTTTCCTAGCAATCAATCAATCTTCCAGACAGCTTATAATACACAGTACTAGAAGGTGTTTCGTCATCTCTGTGCTATCTTAACTGCTGCTAGCGACAACACGTACGAACTCCACGCTCTTTACCAATCTCTTTCTCTGGAGAGTTTAATGCACCGTGAACTCAAATCAAATGATCCATCGCCCGTACTCAGCCAGTAACTGTAGATACTTTCGTCATCAATATTTGACATATTACGTCAGCCTATTTCATATCCAAAAATTTATAGAAGACCAATTCTAAATCTTGAATGTAAATGAATCACAAGCTATGTATTAGGCTCAGTGTAGATACTCTCTCTGATTAAATGCTCTCTATGTCTCATTATAAGTGTCATTTTAGATTGGTGCATACGAATTAAAAAAATAATTAATTTTACATATTTTTATTATAAAAACATAATTATTTATACAGCTAACCACATTTTAATCAATTGAAAAATAAATTAAATAATAAAATTAATAAGTTTTGCAAATCACATTTTAACCAATTGAAAAATAAATTACATAATAAAATTAATAAGTTTTGCATTTTGAAAATCGAAAACGTCATTTATTCTGTAACGAAACAATTTCTCTACAACAAGTTAATATGAAAAACGACATTTAATAGGAAACTGAGGATTAATTTGTTTTATCAATTTACAATCCGTCTTGAATTTCTTAATTATAGTGTTACATTCAAAGCTGTTAGATACTCCCTCCGTTTCATATTAAGTGTCGTTGTAGAGAATTTTTTGCGTTACAAAATAAGTGTCGTTTTCGGTTTTCAATGTAAAATTTATTAATTTTATTATGTAAGTAGTTTTTCTATTGGTTAAAATATGGTTAGGTGTATAGGTAATTGTGTTTTTATATAGGAAATATGTAAAATTAATTGTTTCCTTAATCCGTGTGCATAGCTAGAGAGTGACACTTATAATAAAACAGAGGGAGTACAATGCAATTGATGAAATTGAATCAGGAGGGTTGGCTCTTAATTGTTTGAAGGTAAAACATTAAATCCACCTTCACCTAATTCATATCCTAGCAATCACTCCTCGTCAACTACCAACACTAAATTCAACCCCATCTATATATCACCTCTCAATTCTTTAACCAAAATACCCAACAATAATAAATAAAAAAACACAAGAGAAACAACAACAGAAAGTAACATGAGATCTCTCTTACTAGCCTTGTTCCTAGTTCTTGCTTTTCACAATGGTGAAGCAGCCGTGTCTTGCAACGCTGTGGTTGGAGATCTTTACCCTTGCCTCTCCTACGTTGTTCAAGGAGGTAACGTCCCAGCGAACTGCTGTAACGGTATCAGAACGCTCAACAGTCAGGCTCAAACCCCTGTGGACCGTCAGGGAGTTTGCCGTTGCATCAAAAATGCTATAGGAGGTGTCTCTTTCTCTTCTAACAACCTCAACAATGCTCAGTCTCTGCCTGCTAAATGTGGTGTGAATCTGCCTTACAGTATCAGCCCTTCCACCAACTGCGACAGGTAAAAAAAAAAACCTTTGTAAATGAAAACAATAATCTCAAGCATTTATTCTTTCTTTCGCTTTGTTTACACAGTATCAACTGAGAGAAGCAGAGAAGGAAGCTACTACTACTACTACTACAAGAACTAAGACGTCAGTAATAAATTAAAACGTATGGTTTGCTAGTAGCTACGTTAATCCGTGGTGTATCATCACTTCTATGTTCTTGAAAGTTCTAATAAATTAACTATTCTCGCCGTTCCCTCAGTTACAGTTAACACTTAAACGAACGACTAAGAAAATGGTGTGTTCCACATTAAAGTTTCGACCAAATGTGAAAACATTCGTTATGTTTTGTAACTAACCAAAACTCCACTGCCAACTGAACCAGCTTCCAAAAGACCAGTGACATGAAAGTAAACCTATATATAGCAAATTCAATATTTTATATCCCCAAAAATTTAACTTATAAAAGACATGAAATACCGTATTTTGTATGGTATACACAAACACACCACACTGTTTCTTCACTTGCATACGGTGAGAGAGATAACGAACGGAGGATATATTGAGGTGGATGAACTTGGGAAATTAGTTTTGGGCCTAATAATTTATTTTGGTATTCTGTAGTTGTACACTGAGTATAATCAGGCCTCAGCAAAAATATACTATTTTGCATGGGACTATAAAGGACCAGCATGGAACCCATCAACTCCTCTTTGCTTGCACTAAACAAGAAGTCAAGAATCACGTTAGTCATTACTCATTACTCATAATGCACATGAAACAGTAACATCTTTTGGTAATGAAACAGTAACATAGATATCAAAAACATGAGTAAGCCAAGAAATGATTAGTATGCGCCTATATAGTTGACGAGTCCTGATAAGAGTGGTAAAGAAAATGATAGCTTACCTTCTTTTAGATGATTCATTAACCATTATTTTTATGAAATGTAACTTTATTGCATCTAAGATTGAATGTCGATTTGTTTTTTTTTTTTTTGTAACTTGAATCGTCGATTTGTTTTATGGAGGAACATCCATAAAAATTTCTATTAATCCTAACAAATAATAAAAGAACTTGGATCAAGAAGATCAATATATTCCATGTACTACGTAAAATTTCTCCTTTTACCCTCCAAGAACTTCTTAGAAATTACTTTTCCTCAGAACAAATCGAAAAATTTACTAATATTTACAAAACAATTTAGTTTGCAAGTTCAGAATTGACCAATTAACACAACATGAATCATTAAAGTAGAATAGTTTCTTTTGTATAAACAGTGAATATTTATTTCTCACCAGTAATATAATAATTAGTCAAACGTGAAAATCATTGTTTTATGTGGCTTATTCAAAAAACCATCCAAAGTAAAGCCGACCCCGTTCAAACCATAATTATATATTCCAACAAACTTCAAAAGTCTACTACATAATGAGAAAAGTATACGCCGAAAAAATAGATAATACCAGAAAAGTATAAGACTTGGAATCAACAAAAACGTGCATACTAGTGTTGAATATTATTCGAAGTTATTCAATCTTCAAATTTTTATTTATTTTAGTATCGTCTCCGACTTGAGAGAAATTCCCTAAATATAGAGAAACTATAACTTTCATAAGGTAAATGTCAGACTAGTTGCAGCCTACGGATATGATGTAGAAAGCCGAAAGTTACTACAAGAAAACTTTCGGTTCTAATTCAAATACTTAAGAATACGAGGGGTGATAGTGTAAATTAGCGAAGAAGATAGAAGAAGAGAGGTGAAAAGATGGAGAGTGGTTTGAGAGGACCCCACGTGTCCTCTGATGTCTGATTTTTTGTTTGAGTTAATACAAAAGTTCACTCGCACGCGTGCGCCCAACGGCGCGTGTGCGTAACCTTTTTCTAAAATTTTCCTTTTGTTTATTATTTGAAACCTTCCAAAAACGATGTCAGCGGGTCCCACGTTAGCAAGACGTGAAATCATATCAGCCGTTGATGAGGCGCAATGCGATCTAAATCAACGGTTTTGATACAAGAGTCAACAAGCTATCTAATTAGCCATTTGACCAGTAAACAAAACCCAATTAGATGATGATGCTAACTTCTCTATTTTCCTTTTAATTATTGGATAAAAACAAATAATTTTAGTTTTCCAAGTTTGACTGAGATGTCGCTTTAATCGATGGCCCTCTTTACTGGAAATCTAGGCTTTGCTTTGATTTTACAACTTTGCCTCCTCATCTTATTAATTAATTAATATAGAATTGATTGAAAATTTCATTTTGAAATTATAAATGGTCCAAATCATCGATGTTAGATTCATTCAAAACAAACTTTTGACTAAAAAAATATTTGTGATGTATCAAAGGCCATATATGTGAATAAATGTCTTTTACAATTCTAGGTAAAAAACATTTACATATAGTTCATATATGAATTTTGAAATTATCTTCTTTTTTTTTACATCAACTTTTGATATTATCCTTTTTAGCTGCAATTTGAGTGGAATGTATATTGGTTTTGTAAAAAGAACAAATATATAATATTGTATATGATAACTGTGACGAGGTTGTAAAGAAGAAAACAAAAAGTGAAGGGGCAAAAAGATGAATACTATAAAAAAAAAAAGTAAAGAGAGAAAATTCCAAAATAGTTAGCTGAGGAATTGAATTAAGATTAAGTAAATTAATTACAAATCTTTGTATATCTGTTTTGGTTTGAACTTTGACCACTGCCTCATCTGGGTCCCACCTATCTCTCTCTTTCTAATATCTCTCACTTTCCTAAACAGACCATTCCTCTTATGAGTTTCCTCTCTTCTCAGAAATTTCCGATTTCATTTTCACTCTTCTTTGAATCTCCTTCTCTCCCTTACCGCAGTTTCACCTTCCTCTCCTTAGACTTGTATTAGCTTCTTGTTCTTTCCAGGTTTGTACTAATCTCTCTCATCTATGCCTTGTTTGTTTCTAGATCGAATTTGTATTTTTTTTTTGGGATAACAAACTTTATCATGAACAGATTGTGATTTGTTTCAGTGAAAAACTCTGATCTAACGTATTAACTCTGTTTTTAAAATTAGAAATGAACTTTTAAATTGAGTTTAGCCAATTATAATGCTCTGTGTAGTCTCCTGGATTTATTGTTTCTTGTCTTTACCGGTAGATTAATCTAATGTCATGTTGTCTATTAAACATATCGAAAACGTGTCTTAAGATTCTAAATATTGCATCTTTACAATTTATTTTTAGCTGTTTTATTCATAGAAATTAGGGTTTATATATAAGGAACTATCATATGCTTTCTTAAACCATGAGATCTGTAATAACTGAGATATAATCCATTTCTACGGAAGTTTGAGCTCTTTGTTTTCTCTTGAGATAAAAAGTTATGTTCTATCGATCTTACACATGCATGAACGGATCTGGGTTTCCTTAAATACCAAGTCTTTATGTGTAATGTTTTTGTCTCTGTTCTAATAAAGTTTGTGTTTTTGAATCATTTTCAGATGAAACTTTGAGTCTAAGCTTCAGTTATCAGTGCCCTTTGCATCATCTCGAGTTATATGCTTTCAAAGGATCAAACTTTATGTGTAGAAGATTAGCTTAGAATCAAAGTGATAACTTCGCAAACACAGATTTGAAAAAGATGGTTTTAGGATGTTTCCCTTTGAAAAAGAAGAAACGTGGCGGCTCGGTTTCTATGAGGAGGTTAGATCTCGAAGAAAGCAAACCAATTGCTTTACCAGAGCCACCTAAACCTCCAAGCCGTAATCTCCAATCAGCACCTCCAAGTTTCAGAACAAGAGTGAAGCCAGTTCACTCCAGCAACGGAGAGACAAGCAGCAACAGGACAAGAGTGATGTCTGCTCCTTCAAGCATCCACGGGACAGCAGAACGTGACTTACTCGCAGGAGTTTACCACGAGGAGCAGCAAGATGAACAATCTAAAGACCCACGCATCTCTACTAAAGAACCTACTCCACAACCACAACCACTTCCACTACCGTCTCCAAGAACCGGCTCTTCTTTAAAGAACTGGGGAAGTTTTAAATCGTTTAACGGAAGCAGCGGGAGGTTATCTTCATCAGCAGTATCTGGACCTTTGCCTTTACCACCTAGCGGCTCCGTTAGAAGCTTCTCGTATGATGAAGTTGTCTCCGCTTGTAGCGCCTTTGCTACAGACAGATGTGTCTCCGAAGGTCTTTCGTCAGTTATGTATATGGCTTCGTTTGGTGACGAGGCTGCTTCGACTACAAACTTAAAGAAGGTTGAAGCAACTGTTGTGCGTCTTCACGTTGTAACTCAGGTCTGTAAATAAAACATTCGTTTGTTATGTTAATGTTACCATATAATAATACCTTTTGTGTGTGTTTGTGTTCTTACTATTTATTTTTTATGCTACAGAGTATAAGGGAGTTTACTAATGAAGTGAACACCTTGGCGTCATTGCAACACCAGAATCTTTGTAAATTAGTAGGCTATCATGCACGTGATGGATCTGACACGAGGATGTTGGTGTACGAGAGGCTTGCTCTTGGAAGCTTGGACCGTTTGTTACATGGGAGATCAGATGGTCCTCCTCTTGATTGGAACACTAGAATGAAGATTGCGTTATGCGCAGCTCAGGGGCTAACCTTCTTACATGAAGAAGGCCCGTTTCAGGTATACACAACAAAACAAACATTCTGAAAACTTAGTAGTTACTTGTGACCATGGTTCTAAAAACCTGCCTAGGCAACAATTTGGTGTCTGAAATTTTCTTAAAATGATTCAAATCGGTTCAAAGTTATAATGGTTATAAATCAGTTAAAATTGGTTTAAATCTATCTAAATTTGTTAAAATTAAACAATAAAATTAGTGCAAATCCATAAATTTGTTTGATTTCTTTTGTTTAACATATCTAATTTTGATAACATATCTAATGTAACTACTTCAAGTTTTTTTTTTATTTGAATAAATTTAACATTCTTTCAAAAATTTTTTTTTTTTTTGATAATTATCACAATAATTTTATAGTTAAACTCAAAACTCAAAAAATCTTTTAAAGATGTATAATAATATAAAATAAATTAATAATTCGTTAACGTCTTCTAAAATATTCCGAATAATCCGTGTAGTCGTTTGTCTTTTATAAATCTTTTAGTTTCTTAAACATCGTTTGTGAGTTGTGACTGATCACTATTGTCTTGTGTTGAACAGGCAATGTACAATGAATTTTTAACGGCTAACATCCAAGTAGACAAAGATTTCAGCGCCAAGCTATCAGGGTATGGTTGCGTAGGCCACGCACCCGAGACCGAAACCTCAAACAGTTCAGCACTCGCGAATCTCTCAGTGGAGACACTAGAGAGAGGAGTCTTAACACCAAAGAGCAACGTGTGGAGCTACGGAATAGTTCTGCTCGAGATGTTGACAGGGCGCAAAAACATGGACGGCTCATACCCTAAAGAAGAGAGAAACTTAGTGAAATGGAGCAAAGCTTTTCTAGCAGATGACTGCAGACTCTCGCTTATAATGGATCCTCAGCTCAAAGGCCGGTTCCCCGCAAAAGCAGCTAGAAGCATAGCCGATATAGCGCAGAGATGTCTCCAGGTTGAGCCATCAGAGCGACCGACGATGCGAAACATCGTTGATCAGCTCAAGATTATACAAGACATGAAGTACTCGTGTAGGTTTCCGTTGCGAGAACCCGCGCCAGTCGCGGTGAGGAAACATATGGGAAGGTCGAGTAGTTTAAACACGATTATTTGGACTCCCGGCGTAGCAGCATCAGCTGCTGCTGCCCCGAGGTCGAGTTTCTCCCCGTCGCCTCCGGCGAGAAGGCCGTCGGTTTCGCCTACGAGGGGACGGGGGTTGGTGTTCCCGCCGGTGTTTCCGGGAAGAGTGTGTTCGTCGTTGGAGGAGATGAGTAGGGAAGAGGTGAGGAGATTGTCTTCGGTGAGTGGTAGGAGAACTAGTCTTGAAGGGTTTTGATTTGTTCATATCTCTTATTTGTTTTTTTTTTTTTTTCTTTATTGGCTTTGATTTGTTTTCTGGATTCCAAATATAAAAAGTTTGTTTTTTTAATCAGTGTTGAATCCGAACATCGAGAGAGGGAGTGTGTTGTGTTGTATATAATGAAACTTTCTTCTTCAGACAAAAGCAGATTCGAAGTATTGTGTTATAAGATACAGAGATATACACTCTGGTCGTTTTTTTTGTTGTTGTGCACAAACACTTTGGTCGTTAAAAACATGAAGAAGCGGTTATGTTAATAGAACCGGATAATTTTGATTTAAACCGAGTTGCGGTTCGGTTTGTTTTTTTTTTGGTGTCATCTTTAAACCTTTCCTGCTTCCTTTCCATTGAGATCTTATCCAAAGTCTTTTCAGACACATCGGTTGTATTTTCTCGCCGGCGGGGGAAGAACATGGCGGGAAGAGTGGCTTTCTCTGTATCTTCGTCTCCTTCACTCTGCATACCGTATTCAACTACTTCGCTCTCACTATCTTTCTCGAAAAGATCGGCACTCTCTGTGAGGATTTCTACTCGTGCCAACAGATTTTCCGGTTAGAGTTGTTCTCTCCTGCTCTCACTTTTGTTAGGGGTTGATTCAGTTGTGTTATATTCTGGTGAGTTTGTTTTTTGAAGGGATTTGCTGCTCTTTGTCTGCTAATGATATTAAAGCCGGAACCAATATTGAAGTAGATGGTGCTCCTTGGCGTGTACTTGGTATTTCTCTTCCTTCTCAATTCTTCGTAATTTAGGTTTTGGTTTTGGCAAAATATTGTTAGTAGTTCATGTCGTTGTTGTTTTTTTGGTTTGATTGCATCTATAACTGCTTAAATCTGTACTATTCGGACATGATTTGGTGTTTCAAAATGACAAGCGTTTTGATTTCTGTCTTTTTTTTTTTTTTTCTTTTGGGCAGAGTTTCTTCATGTCAAACCAGGAAAAGGTGCGGCCTTTGTGAGAACTAAGATCAGGAACTATGTTAATGGTAGCACAGTGGAGAGAACTTTTCGTGCTGGAATCTCTGTAATCATCCTCTCTTTCTCTTTTTCGTTTTGTATCTTAATTCTTTACTAAAGACTCCATGATTTGAGTATAATTTGATTCACTTGTATGTTACAGGTCGAGGAAGCAAATGTATTCAAAGAAACCAAACAATTCACATACAAAGACGGCTCTCAGTTTGTTTTCATGGATCTGGTATGCCAATACAATCTCTTCTTCTTCTTCACTTAACACAAAGATTGTTGTAATGATATGATTCTCCACGTGTTGTTCAAAATCTTCTTCTACAGAGCACTTACGAAGAAACACGTCTTAACGAATCTGATATGGGTGACAAGACGAGATGGTTGAAAGAAGGAATGGAATGCAGTTTACTATACTGGAAAGACAAGGTAACACACACACACACACACACACTTTAGTCTCTCACTAAATAGTTCACAGTTTAAGCGGCGATGATGATATTGTTGGTTCTGTCTTCACTTTTGCAAGGTAATCGATTTCGAACTACCAAATACGGTTACGCTCAAAGTGGTTGATGCGGATCCTGGCCTTCGTGGTGACACTGCACAAGGTAATAAACAACAATGTTGCTTGCACAAATCTTTTTTTAAAAACAAGGCCTAAATGAGTTGGTGTGGTGGGGATGTATATAGGTGGATCAAAGCCTGCGACAGTGGAAACGGGGGCAGTAGTTACCGTACCACTCTTTGTTAACGTAGGTGAAGAAATTTTGGTGGATACTAGAACCGGTATGTACATGAACCGGGCGTGAAACGTGTCTACATCTATTTAATCGGATCCAGAATCCAAACTTAGAGAGCATAATCATTTTTGTCTGTATTTACAAATATGCAATGTTGAATCCAGGATATACAATATGTTTTTAAATAAGATTTAAACACTAAGGGTGTGATTGGCTATTGATGTAGATGCTCTCCAGAGCCATAATCTACTCTATTAATTTAGAGTCCTAAAAATTTATCTACTATTTTTAAGTTGTGTTGGACTTTCGGACCTTCTCTAGGATAATAATCTTATAATCTTACCATCATTATCTAATATACTACGAACATTTTTGGTTCCTTAGATATAGCGACTTCACTTAATTTTAGTTAAACCAACCTCCAAACACAATTTATATCTTTATATCATTTTACACAAGTATCGTCTTTACATTTATATTATATTCATAATATACTACGAACATGTTTGGTTCCTTAGATATAGTGACTTCACTTAATTTTAATTAAACCAACCTCCAAACACAATTTATATCTTTATATCAATTCACACAAGTATCTATCTTTGTATTTCATTTATATTACATTCATTATATCTACCCTACATACCTTAGACTAAACCAACTTTATAATTTGCTTCTCTTTACTTACAAAGTTCTGCATCTGCTACACCAACTCAATTCATATTTGTCAAAATGTTCTCATCATTCCAAAAATGGTCACAACATATATATTTACATAAATTTTGGTGTAATACACCATTCCATGCAGTAATCAATATGAAATGATGTTTAAAATATGAACCACTTGAATCGTATATATCTTTGTAAATTAGTGAAACAGAATATTCTAACCACATATATATAGATTAGTTCAAATCTACAATAATTATTCGTATATATCTTCTTAGTTATAAAAAAACTAATCTGTTATTTGAGTGATTTATTCCCTGATATTTCGAGTCAGTATCTAGCCATATTTTTCAATTAAATATCTTAACTAACTTAACCTGCATTCAAAATGTTCTCATCGATACATAAAAAAGAATATACCGATCGATCCTACAAAATCTTATGCTACACTATAAATATATCTAACAGCCCATAATACAACTCACATCACGAAAACCATCTAAGACTCAAATGGCAATGGTTACTTCTAATGGAACTACTCTCTTGAAAGCTGTCAAGCCATTCAAAACTGGATGGAAGGTTGAAATCAAAATTCTGCACTCATGGACTCAACACTCATCTTATGGTGGTGGAGACACTCTTGAATTCATACTTGCAGATGTAACGGTAATTTTTATATGCTTTTATATATGTTACATTATATTTATCTAATACCACTCTAAAATTATGTTTATATGCTTAATGCAGGGCGAAAAGATACACTGTGCCTGTAAAAGAATCTTCACTCCACGTGCTAAGAAACACATGCAGGTTTTCCCAGCTACCGGAAAATATAGAGAAAAGAGCCACAAGTACAAGCTTTCCATCATAGGCAGTTCCTTAGTGATCAGTTCATCCCTGAAAATTGATGATATTTTCCTATCGTTGACCCCTTATGAATCAATCATTAATGGAAGTCTTGATTCCAATTTTCTGATTGGTAAGTGTATTTTTTCCAGATTTAAGCTCCAATTTTTTTTCCCATATTTAATCTCCATTTTATATGAATTAATTTAAAAAGTTGTGGTTTCTGATGTTATTGGTCAAGCGATTGATATCAGTGATCTTCAAGTTGTGCAAGTTCTTGGTAAAGAAAGGAAGAAACTGGAACTTACTTTGACAAACACAAAGTAAGCTCAAAATATTATTATTCTGTCTATAATTATTAAGAACATTTACTAAACTGAAATACATTTGTTACCAGTGATCAATATATAGCATGTTGTCTTTGGGGTCGTTTTGCTGAACAAGTTTTAAATGCTTACCATGCTGGTGAAAATAACACCATTGTCTGTTTGTTGAGATTTGCAAAAATCTCTGTTTACAAAGGTAAGATTTGAGTTAACCTTTTAAGCTTTATACTTTTTTCTACGATTCATTACCACCAAAATTTTGTTTTGTAGGACAAGTCCAGGTTAGAAATGCATTTGAAGCTTCTAGTGTGATCATCAATCCTACCAGCTCTGATGTGCGAGAATTTTTTCGACAGTAAGTTGTATTCTAATAAATTTTTATTTTTTTTTAACAATGGTTTGATATATTATTTAATATTTAGGTTGCCAAAAAATGAACTTGCTCTCACAACTGGAAATGTTGAAGTTGTCAAACCCAAAGGAATCAAACGCCAGAAGGATACTTGGTATCTTTATCCAGAGAGATCAATAGTGGATGTTCTCATGGCAACTGAGGTTAGTTTTTTAAACAATCCTTACGATTTACTTTAATTAAGTTATGCTTTCATCTTTTAGTTAATTACTTTTTTCAATGATTTAAACTGGTGTTTTTGTTTTCTGCGTGGTTCTTTATTCTGTTGTATTAAATTTATTTTAAAGTTTTTGAATTCTTAGCGAACTAAACATGGCTTATTGGTTAACCAGTTGGGATGATCAATAAAACTACATATAACTAACTAAACAGAGAAACAAGAACTAATGATTGAATCAGGGAAAAGATAATCAACCTAGGATTATATCTTCATGCTTAGACATATGAAAAAGAGTTAAGCAAACTATGTGTAGAAAAATAATAACTAACCTTTAGTTTGTTTTTCCCCATCTGTATTGAGTTTTCTTTATTCTCTGTTTCTTCAATATGTCCATATGTGACACAGCATGCTCTAAAATGTGTTATAAGAAGCTGTCACAAACATATATTAAGAAGTCAATTTGCTAAAGTGTAAGAGTTACAATATCTTATCATCGCAAACATATAAAAACGTGAAGTGTACAAGTAGAGATTACACACTTAACTTTGTTATAAGCTATGTCAGGTTTGTTATTTTCCTTTTTATGGCTTTAAAAGATGAAACTTCCGTAACCTGTCCAAATATATATCAAGACTCACGTCCATGTTTTCTCAATGCTGATTATAAAATTGAATACACTCTTGGATAACTATTTTTAAAAAAATATATAAACAAAGTGGAATCTTATCTTTGACATTGGCAATCTCTTGATATCTCCATCTCTGGTTTGTTACATCTAAGCAAACTGCACCGATCTGTCACAAAACATGAAGCATATAGATTTAGATAGATCAATGTCTCTCTTGGAATACAATGAACAAAAAAAAATGATAGCGCTTATTGTGACCTACGGTTCATAACCGTGCGGTTAACTGATTTGGTATAACAAAACCAACAGATGGAGATTTGTAAGGATAAGCTTCACGAGGTTTTGTCTTTCCAAAAGAAATACACCATGTAGGTATAAAGACCTATAAACACACACAATGCCATAGTTATGCACTTAAAATATTTATGAATCTATAAAATCTATGTTTCTACCACCTACGACCATCGAAAACAACCAACAAAAGAGATCTGAAACATAATCCCAAGGACTGCAACGTTTCCATATGGGATACAAAATCAACAGCTTAGATCAAATTTGTGTCTTAAAAACTGGTCAAAATCAAAGAGATAGGAAGAAGTAGAAGACAATACTATTTACATGTCTACAGAGACTTATGTTTCGGTTGAATCTCTTCAAAGTCAATATTGAGATTGTCGATCTACATATAGATATGACCGACCTATGTATATGATTAAGATTTTGATATATCAGAAAAAAATATATTTGATTCTGGATATTGTCTACATGCAAAGTGATTTCTGTAGATGATAAATCGGTGACCTCACCGACAGAGAAGAGAAAGAAAATAAAAGTAGTTAATTTTTAACGAGACACGTTACATTTTATCCGGGAATAATTCGTTAGAAATGGGCTTGATCATTTATAATTAAGACTCGACCTGACACTTAATGTGTTTTGGGTAAACCCTATATATATAATTTATGTTGCATCTTCTTTATGGTTAGTTTGCAGATTAATCAATCTTAAAAGTCTATCAAATATTATGATATGGGCCAAATGTGTTAAATTTATCAGAAAACGTGTAATTTTGAATGTAAAATAAATTGTGATATGTTAATAATTGGTACAAAATAATTTTTGATGATAAATATTAAGTATAATGTTTAATATAATACTCAACATTAATAAAACCTCTATAATTTAATAATGCTGGCATTTTGAAACTTAATTAATTTATAGATATATTAATTTACCAATAATTTTTATTTAGATTATTTATATATTTTAAGATATATTATTCTTTTTGGGCAACAAGATACATTTATTCTAAGATAAAAATTGATTTAAATGTATAGATATTAATTATTATTTTTCAAAATTTGATATTTATATTAATTCTATTATATTATTTAGTGTATATAATATATATGACATAGAATTTAGATGTGATTTTAAATATATATTACTAAATCTCATCAAAACTGTATTAATTATTAAGTAAATATAAAGACAATTCTATTATGAGTTTGAAATCAATATTACAATAGGTTCTTACTTATATAAAATAAGTTTACATAGAAATTTTTAATTTTTAATTTTAAAGGGACCACATATGTACATATAATTTTCCAAGAAAGTATTATCTAATTATTTTATCGATTTGAGTCAAATTTGGAACCGATTCAAGTTGGTACCGACGAAATTTATAAATTTATAGAAACTATTAATTTATTTAGTATTAATTTATAGAGCTTCTACTATACAATATAGTGATAAATTATAATAATACACTTTGATAGTCACAAATATATAGAATTTAAAGCAATCAGATTAACTAAAACCCAATTTATTTTTAGTTGGTTTAACAGGGGTATTGGTAAAACTGAAACAATTAAAACCGAACGGATCTAAATTGAGAAAATGGTTTGAATTGATAATAATCGAATATTGTGTATATGCAAAAACGTCACATATTATAGCCACATATTATATAACAAAAAAATCTAAAACATAAAAATCTGAAATGTAAATAAGCAATCTCAATTATTATTAGGAAAAATAGTTTAAGCATATCCACGCATAGCGCGGGTCCGTATCTAGTTATACTTACAGCCCTATATCTACACCAATTATGATTTTTATTTTTTCTAAAGCTCACAGCTATTTTTTTTAATTCTACAACACTTCTGTAAATTTATGTCTTTATAATTGCTCTTCAGAGACAAATACCTACAGCTCATATTTAAAGGCTTTTAAAAATTAAAAATCTAAAGCCAAAGCAAAAAAAATCACAGCAATATTTCTATAGCTAAAAAATGAAATCATAGCTCTTACCAATCACTCCCTAAAAGTGTATTTCGATAAAATAAAATAAAATTCGTATTACTTTAAATTAAATAAAGTTGAAAGCAACCTTATAACATCATCTAATGGGCTTTGTGAGGGCCGGCCCACTACCACAAAAAGAAGTTGTTGTTGGACAAAAAAATCTCCGCCGTACATATAGCTAAGTTAGTTAACATTCTCCCAATAAGATACGGCCACGTGTAAATCCCCTGGATCTAACGATGCGTCTCTCTTAAAATCCTCTTCCTGTCCATCGGTTTCGATTCACGTCTCCTTCCCCAGCCATCCTCTCTGGTAACTAACCATCCCATCTCTCTACGATTGACTTTAGATTTTCTGGATCAATACAAATCATCAAAATTTGTGTATTGTTTTAACGCACGAAACGTTTTATTTTCAGGTCTTTGTTTATCTCTAGATCTCGATTTGCTTGAAAATTTTGTAACGATTAGATCTGATTTTATTACAGTTTCAGCTCCTTTTCTTCGTGGGTTTCGTTTTTACTGGGTAAAGTTTGAGTCTTTGAAGCTGTGTAGGGTTTACATTCATTCCAAATCCGCAAATTGTATAGCTTCTAGGGTTTAGTGGGACTTCAGATTTGATTTGTTTATGTTTTAGCCTCTAAATTTGTGAACTTTTGATGTAACTGCAGAGCTTATAAAACCTTCATGGCATTTGCGCACTTCTGCAGCATCGAATGTTTCCTTAAAACCGGGAAACAAGAAGCGCTTTTCCTCCTTGTTATTGGTTTGCCTATTGCCAGCACTCGTTTTAGTCAGTTCTCTCCGCATTAATAACCACCCCTTCGGTACAGAATCTCTCTCTCACCACTATTTGGTGAACTCTTTTGAAGCTTCCTCTGTGATTCTGTATCGTTTTTTTTTTTTAAGTTGTAAGTTATGGTTTCCTCTCACCGTCCTGTCCCTAAGAAAACCCACAAACAGCAGTATTTATCTCTCAGCCCTTCGGAATCTGTTTTGAAAGATGATGATGTTGAGCTTGACTTCTCTGATGTGTTTGGTCCACTTCCTGAAGAGGCTGGTGATGTTGTTTTTGATGAGCCTGCTGTTATCTACACTCGATCTCACTCTTTGGTTGGCCCTTCTTCGATTGGTAGTCACTCTTTTAAGCTGAGCAAGCTCACGTTACGAGAGACTGAGGACTCAGTTGATTTGGTGGAGTGTCTTGAAGGTGAGTCACTAAAGGGAAATGATGAAGTCTTTGGTAGTGACAGTGAGAGATCTCCAGAGGGGGGACTTGTGGTGAAGGTCTCTGGTGTGGTTGGACTTGATGATTTTGAGGTTTTGAAGGTTGTAGGACAAGGTGCGTTTGGGAAAGTGTACCAGGTGAGGATGAAGGAGACATCTGAGATATATGCGATGAAGGTCATGAGAAAAGATAAGATTATGGAGAAGAACCATGGGGAATACATGAAAGCTGAGCGCGATATCCTTACGAAGATTGATCATCCATTCATTGTTCAACTTAAGTACTCGTTTCAGGTAGAACATCCCACTTCTATCCCTTTACATCCTATCCTAGTGGTTTACTCAAAATATTGTGCATAACTTTTTGTGTAGACAAAGTACAGGCTCTATCTTGTGCTTGACTTTATTAATGGAGGGCATCTATTCTTCCAGCTCTACCATCAAGGGCTTTTCAGGTTTTATTTAACTTCTTTGATCAACTATGTTTGGAGTTTCAGTATAGTTTTGCAACTTGTTCCATGTGTATTTTTTTTCCCAGAGAGGACTTGGCTCGTGTGTACACTGCAGAGATCGTCTCTGCAGTTTCCCACCTCCATGAGAATGGCATAATGCATAGAGATCTGAAACCTGAGAATATACTCATGGACACAGATGGCCACGTGATGTTGACAGATTTTGGTTTGGCAAAGGAGTTTGAAGAGAACAAAAGATCAAACTCCATGTGTGGGACTACTGAGTATATGGCACCTGAAATCGTTCGTGGAAAAGGACATGATAAGGCTGCTGACTGGTGGAGCGTTGGGATTCTTCTCTATGAGATGCTCACTGGAAATGTAAAAAGACTTACTCATGCCTGGGATTGGTTAAGTGATAAAACTGTGTGATAGTGATACCATTATTGTTTGTCCTTTTGCAGCCACCGTTTATGGGGAGCAGAGGAAAGATAGAGCAGAAAATTATAAAGGACAAGATCAAGCTTCCGCAGTTTCTGTCTAGTGAAGCTCATGCCTTGCTGAAAGGGGTAAGGAAACTTGAAACTGTCTTGGGACTACGAATTATTAAGCCATTAAGACCGAATCTGATTGTAACTCTGTAATGAATGTACAGCTGCTGCAAAAGGAGCCAGAGAGGAGACTTGGAAGTGGACCGAGCGGAGCAGAGGAGATAAAACAGCACAAATGGTTCAAGGGAATGAATTGGAAGAAGCTGGAGGGAAGAGAAGTTAAGCCAAGTTTCAAGCCGGAGATATCGGGAAGACAATGCATAGCGAATTTTGACAAGTGTTGGACTGAGATGTCAGTGTTAGATTCCCCAGCAAACAGTCCAAGCTCGGATCCTAAGGTCAACCCTTTCACCAACTTCACATATGTCAGGCCTCCTCCATCATTCCTTCAACAATCAACATCGGCTCTGTAGAGAGTGAAAGAACCTTATGTTTCTTTTTTACCGTTGAAGTCTATTATTGCAAGGTAATAATAAGATATGAGTTGTTTGAACCATATATATGAAGTGGACACTTTTCTAAACATAATTTGTTGAGTAAAACATGTAGTATTTTGATTATTAATTTAAAGAGCTTTGGTGTTTTTGAAGCTTGCATTCAGCTAGAACTTAGGTGTTCTCAACAATTACAAGAAGACTTTGATCTTAGGAATCTAATGTGTTTGTTGTGCTTATAATCCTGACTGTTGGTGATAATTACAGATTGATAGCACTGTAACTTGTTTGAAATGTATTAAGGAATTTATGGTGAGTAGTAAGTACTCTACCATTTTGCTTGAAAAACATGTGATCTATCAAAAAAAAATCCAAAATGAGTCAAATGGCATTAGTCCATGGTGCATCCCCTTTAGTTGCTTTTATGGAAGTAGACAAATTAGTTGGCTTACACGTCACCAAAAAAAAAGGAAATAGGCAAGTGTTTCGTAACAAATACTCCCTCCGTGTCATATTAAGTGTCGTTGTAGAGAATTTTCTGTGTTACAAAATAAGTGTCGTTTTCGGTTCTCAATGCAAAATTTATTAATTTTATTATGTAATGTGTTTTTCTATTGGTTAAAATATGGTTAGGTGTATGAGTAATTGTATTTTTATATAGGAAATATGTAAAATTAATTGTTTCCTTAATCCGTGTGCACAGCTGTAGAGTGACACTTATAATGAAACAGAGGGAGTAATTAAATATTCAAAAAAAAACCTCCGCCGCGTTTAAAACAACTTGTCAACAATCTCCCAATATAAATCAAACACGTGTCGAGATCCCTGGATCCACGATGCTTCTCTATTGTGTAATAACATAAAAAGGAGGCACGCGCCTCAGAAACCTGTTGGAAGCAGGTTTTGGGATTTTTAGCGTTTCCTCTTTAAAATTATATCTCAATCATCTCCTCCTTCCTCACGCATCTCCTCTTCCTCTTCCTCTGGTAATCTCTCTCTCTCTCTTTGACTTTTCTCCCTTTGTTTTCTGGATAAGTTCATCAATTGTTTCTACGACACGAAACCTTTTGTTTAGTTCTGATCATACGTTTTATATCTAAATCTGGATTTGTTTGAATTTTGCATGTGTTACATGTTTCCTTAATTTACAACTAGATCTGATTTATAGAGCTTCGAGGTTTCCTTCAGCTTTGTGTTGAAGTCTTGAAGATGTATAAGTTCTGTGTTTTAACGATTCTGAATCCGGCAATTCAAGGGGGTTACGTTACTTAGGTCTTTATTCGAGATTTGTCTCCTCATTGAAAAAATAAATATAATATTTTTGGTGGGAGGAATGATCTGTAAGAATATTCGGTCGGTGCCAAAGTTTTCTTATTTTATGTTGACTTTAGTTTACAAAACGAATCTTTTCACCTGCTTTTGGTAATTTGTGGTCAAATTCTATGTGATCAAAGAATTTGATATGATTATCATGTTTCTTAGCATCTGGATGTGAATTTTTTTTTTTTTCTTTTTATGAACTTGCAGAGCTTAGAGCACTTTTATGGCATTGGAGCACTTGTGCAGCAACCATTGTTTCCTTACATTAGGGAAACAACTAGAGCTTCTTCTCCTCCTCAACATTGGTTTACCTGTTTTTAGCCTCTTCCTCATTAACAGGAGACCATAACCAATCTGGTGAAGCTTTAAAAAAATATGGTTTCCTCTGAGTGTCCTGTTGCCAACAAAAACCTCAACGGGAAACACATGTTCCTAACCATCACCCCACCACAAACTCTCTTGAAAGAAAACCTTGAGCTTGACTTCTCTGATGTCTTTGGTCCACTCCCTGAAGAGCCAACCGATGTTGCTTTCGACGAGCCTGCTGTAATCCACACTCGCTCCCACTCCTTGGTTGGACCTTCTCTGATCACTAGTCATTCTTTCAAGCTCAGCAAGCTCACTTTACGAGAGACCAATGACTCTGTTGACTTGGTTGAATGTCTCGAAGGTGAATCATCTTCTAACGAAGACACCGAGAATGAGAATAAAGCTGTGGAGGCCAAGATCTCAAGTGGTGTAGTAGGTATTGAGGATTTTGAGGTTTTGAAAGTTGTGGGACAAGGTGCGTTTGGGAAAGTGTACCAAGTGAGGAAGAAGGAGAGTTCCGAGATTTACGCTATGAAGGTCATGAGGAAAGATAAGATTATGGAGAAGAATCATGCTGAGTACATGAAAGCTGAACGTGATATTCTTACAAAGATTGATCATCCTTTCATTGTTCAACTTAAGTACTCTTTTCAAACCAAGTATAGGCTTTATCTTGTGCTTGACTTTATAAACGGAGGGCATCTTTTCTTCCAGCTCTATCACCAAGGGCTTTTCAGGTTTGGTTTAAGTTTCAACTATGTTTTGGAGTTTTAGTATAGTTTTGCAAGGCTTGACTAGTTTTTGTTTTGGTCAACAGAGAGGACTTGGCTCGTGTGTACACTGCAGAGATTGTCTCTGCTGTTTCCCATCTCCATGAGAATGGAATAATGCATAGGGATCTGAAACCTGAGAACATACTAATGGACACAGATGGACACGTGATGTTGACTGATTTTGGATTAGCAAAGGAGTTTGACGAAAACAAAAGATCAAACTCCATGTGTGGGACTACTGAGTATATGGCACCTGAAATTGTTAAAGGAAAAGGACATGATAAGGCTGCTGACTGGTGGAGTGTTGGGATTCTTCTCTATGAGATGCTCACTGGAAAGGTAAAATAGTTTTTTTTTTTTCTACAAATGAAGTCTAAGTTAGTCTTGGTATGTGGTTAGTTATTAACTGATGTGTTATGTGTTGTCTTTTACATCTACAGCCACCGTTTCTTGGGGGCAAAGGAAAGATTCAGCAGAAAATAGTGAAGGACAAGATCAAACTTCCACAGTTTCTATCAAATGAAGCTCATGCGTTGCTCAAAGGGGTAAGTACCATCATCTTCATGTACTATGAAGCATTATATTATATTAGGTCTAAATCTGATTGTGAGTTTGTAATGAATGTATAGTTGCTGCAAAAAGAGCCAGAGAGACGACTTGGAAGTGGTCCAAGCGGAGCAGAGGAGATAAAATCGCACAAATGGTTCAAGGGAATGAATTGGAAAAAGCTGGAGGCAAGAGAAGTGAAGCCAAGTTTCAAGCCAGAGGTATCTGGAAGACAATGCATAGCTAATTTTGACAAGTGTTGGACTGATATGTCTGTGTTGGACTCTCCAGCAAGCAGTCCAAGCTCGGATCCTAAGGCTAACCCTTTCACCAACTTCACATACGTCAGGCCTCCTCCTTCATTCCTCAACCAAACCACATAAACTTTGTAGAGGAACTATACATGTTATTAGATGGGGGTTTATGGAAATACATGATTTGGTGTTTATAAATATACATAACCTGATGTTGTGTTTCTATTATTTCTTCTGATGCTTTGTCAAAACCATTGTGGTCGTTTTTTTTTCTCAACATGTAAATTTGTTTTTACCTTTTAACAAAATGTTTTTATATTCAAATGAAGCTATCAAGTTAGAATTCTTGGAAGTGTCTGAGACATGTAAATTTAATACTAATCAAAGTTTGACCAAGAAAACTATCTTATACTATATGATTTTATGAGATCTTGTCAGAAGAGTGAAGGAATTGTTTTGATCGAGAACAAACTACTAAATTATTGAACCAGAGCAACTAAGATTGACCATTGACCCTTGTAAACAAAGCAATAAACAAAAACGTTGAAACATACAGCTAAGATGATAACGACTTTGCTTTCAGACCAAACTAGTATCTAATAATGTAATAATATTTTAATTGAAAGAAAATCTTAAAGTTAAGTCAGTCAATGTGATTATCAAAGAGAGAGTAGCATCTTGCTTGCAGATTTAGATAGAGAAATATTCAATATATATACTGAGTAATGAGAATGAAAAATACGCATAATATAGAAACATGATGATCTAAACTCAAATGTTTTTTCACGACTTTTTAATTAAATTGGCATTTTACATCCATTGAGCAAAGAACAAAGCCTTTTTGGATACTCTCCGCGGTGAAGAAGACCACAAAAGAGTGCTGCATCAAGGCCGTTGTGGACTTTCAGGTACGGAGTCAAGGATAGAAGTAACCTTCTTCTGTAACTCAGGCTTGTTTGCTCCCACAAGCTTGCCTATTTGCTCTCCGTTCTTAAGAAAGAAAAACGTTGGTGTTGCCTTTATGTCCCATGTTGAGCTAAAATCCTGCACAAAAAAAAATAACACATTGAGAGATATTTGTTGTAAAGAAAGAGAAGCTATGGATGGTGTGGTTTACACTACTTACGCTGAGTTCATCAACATCTACGAGAAGGAACATAAGAGAAGGATGTTTCTCAGAGAGCTCCACGTAAAACGGTGCCACAATCTTACAAGGACCACACCATGTTGCGCTGAAGTTTGCAATTACCTGTTTAAAACATGAGATATGAGATTGAAACACAACACACTTCCATGATAACTGAGAAGATAGGGTGAAAATTACAATTTTGCCATCACGACCAGCTTCGGCTAATTTCTCATCCCAGCTTTCTTTTGTTGTGATGAGATGAACATTACCACCGGAGAAATCAACGTTATGGACTGAATCATCGTCTCCTGTGTCCTATCGTTTGCAACCAAAAGGGTGTTTTATTTTTTGGTTAATTCATATTATTATCACATAAAAATAAAACACAACAAACACAAACCTTTTTTTCTTACACGACAGCAAAACAAAACAACAAAAGGGTTTTAATTTCTTTATGTAATAAAAATTTATACCTTAGAGACGCAGCTTCCCATCTGAATGAATGCTCTGTAAATGTAAAAACAGAGAATCTACTTTCTTCTTTTTATTTTCTTAGCAAATATCCTGTTGTTAAGAGATTATCTAAAGCAAAACAAAAACTGAAAATGTGTAATAGATAAAAACAAAACGGATTAAGAGAATCTGAAACGGTAACGCACCTTTGAAGATCGGATTTGGTCTGAGGCTTAAGGACGCATAAAAGAAATAAAAAAAAAGGTTGGAAAATTTCGAGAGAAAGACTAAGAAAAAGGAAAGACAATAGAGAAGAAGAAGAGGAGAGCTGAATGATGAATGAAAAAGGAACTAAACGGTGTCGTTATGAGAAAGATACCAAATTAGTGGGGAGTCGTTGATTGGGGGAGTCCCATTATGACCGCGTCGTCAAGAACCCAACTTCTCCTTTTAAATTACGCTTTTGTCCTCCGCCTCTCTGTCCACTTCTTTTTTTGTATTTGTTGTTTTCCTAAAAGCAATTTAGTTTCACCAAACTATTCTTTTTAGATCACTTTTTATTGGTTTGTTAGTTGTCAACGTGATTT